CTGCATTTTCTTGGGGTCATTTGTAAATTACAATTTTGGCTTGGGAGGAAAACTTCGGGGTGTGACACTGGGTAACTTGAGTCTGGATCTGTTTCTACCCTCTTTTAAACCTCAAACCTATAACCGTTTCAATCTTCAGTTTCAGAATCTGAAATCTCTCCCCCAACATCGACACTAGCGGCATAATTCCAAAATCCCAGAAAGAAATTTAGTGAATCGTGCCCTACCACCGCCACATCGCGCTTCCCATTTCAAGCAAGCGCGTAGGTGAGTCTCCCAAACCTTCCATGATGCGCATCCTCCGCGAACCCAGGTGCCCCATGGCGAGGACATCTTCCCGACGAGTTTGAGGTTGAGTTCAGATAATGATGCAGATACGACAGGCGAGGAGGGTTAAGATTTGGGAATCGACGGATAGTGTGGTCACACCCTCTGGACATCTTCCACCGCGGTGGTAAAGGAAGATCATCCTCCATGCGTTCTTTGCTTTTTGTTCCGGTAGAAAGTGGGTTTAAAAATTTTAACCCAATATATCGCCTTATGTACTTCAAGGCTGGTTTCATGGATCTCCACTACAATAAGTGTCGTGCGAATTTTATGTGTAAGAATAAGGACACGAGGTATTAGTGCCACAAGTGCAAATGTTGGTTTGAAGGCAAAAACTTCGCACTAATCAATCAGATGTTTCAGTTATCAAATACGGTTTTTATGTAAGGAGATTGGTTTGTATGTAAGGAGATTGGATGATGGTATATCGATAAGATATTTCATTTTGACTTCGATGGGATATTCCATTTTGACATATTTTAGTTGGTGGTCATCAAATTTTAGGTGCAGCTTTTTCATTTGATATTAAATCTAGTAGTTGGAAGTTCCTATATCAGTTGATCAGAATTAATATTTACTACAAACCTAATGTATATGTGTTTTTTCTAAGTTTCCTAAATATTAATATTATGTTTATGACTATCAAACACTAAATATTATTGTTAAGGTAGCACAAATTTCTATGAGAAGTTTATTTAATAGATGTTTCTTTAATCTTATATTTTTTTAGATATAAAAAAATTGTAATGATAATTGCTGAAGTTGATGATCATGTTGCTAGTAGTGCATAAGGGTTTAGTCGTGAATATGTGTAGGGCTACAAAAGAAAATACGATAGGCTAATAGTAGAATATGCTGTTCAAAATGCAATTGACCAACTTAAATACTGCTCCTTTCATATTATAAGTTTTTAATTTTTTTAAAGAAGTTTGACAAAGTTTATAGAAAAATATACCAATATTTATAGGATCAAATTAGTTTCATTACATCTAACATTGAACATATTTGATTAGTTTCTTTATTTTGTGTTAAAAATATTGCTATAATTTTTATAAGATGTTGATAAACAAACGCATCTGCCGAAGGGCAAGCTTCACTCAATATGTGCGATATAAAGTGATAAAATGTATTGATTTTTATAAAAATTTGATCACCTATTACATGCTCCTGACGTCTATTTATAGGTTTACAGCCCTGGGTTTGTAACCCTAGGGTTTTGGTGTACAAGTGAGTTTACACAAACGCCCTTATGACATGAACATTTATAGGGGTAATAACAAACCTTTGGCTCAGCTACCCGGTCTATGGGCTTGTCCCTTCATGGGTTGTTTGCGGGCCTTCTTGATTAACAGGGCGTTGGCTGTCGTATTGGCTTCGCTGCTTGGTCAGAGCGATCCTTTGGCAATTTCTCCGCTACTCAGTGATCAGCTTTGCCGCTTACTGGGACTTCGCCTCTTGGTTGTCTTGCACCTCGTTTCGCGGCTTGGCATTTATGTGTTTCGGCTGGCTCGGTCGAAGGCCCTCATGACATGCCTCTAACATAAACTTAATCAAATGTAAAAAAGTTTGACTTAGAAAAAGTTAAAGCGATTTATAATATGAAACGTAGGTAGTAATCAGAATTTGACCTGAAAATCCCTATCTCTACTATTATAAAAATTGAAGATGTTTCTGCCGAAATTTTGGTATGTCATCCATTTTTGAGTTAGTTGTACATCACCCGTATCCAATTCGACATGAGTCAACGTGAGTCCATAATAACTATTATATATCCCCTTCCGGCTAGGGCTGTCAACAAGCCAAGCTCGAGCGAGCTCGTCTGCCGAAGCTCGAGCTCGACACAAGCTCGAGCCGAGATCGAGCCGAGCCTATTGCACCTTTGAGCTTTTAGGCAAGCTCGGTTCGAGCTCGTTCGAGCTCGAGCTCGGCAATAAGTAGTATAATATATATTTTAATGACAATCTCTTGATAAGTATAATTATTTTCTAGTTAATCACACTAATAAAAGAGTAGAAAATGATTAAAATAAATATATTGTGCTAACACATGCTAATTTATTGTGTGAATAGATACTAATATATATATATATATATATATATATATCTATTAGTTTATTATATTAATAAGGTGAACATGCATATAAACTATACACAGTCAAGCTCGGTAGAAGCTTGAGCTCGGCTCGGTAAAGCTCGCGAGCTTTTGCTTAGGCTCGGGTTCGGCTGGTTTGGAGCTCGAGCCTAGGACGAGCCAAGCTCAAGCTGCTCGCGAGCCTCGAACTTTTTTGACAGCCCTACTGCCAGCCCAACTCCTCCCTCTCCTAGCCCAACCCAGCTGGCCCACACCATCCCACACCCCATCCCGCAACCCTCCCCTGATCTGATTATCTCTCTCTCTCTCTCTCTGATTTTTCTCCTTTTCTTTTCTCCAATAATTCTAATCCTCCCCCTCTCCCTCTCCTTACAATCTTCTCTTTTCTCCTACTATTCTCTTTTTCATTTTTTTTTCTCTTCCAGATTTCTCTCTACATAAATATTTTTATTTTAAAATTATCATTATTTAAGGTGTGTATGTGACAAGTTGTTACTTTGTTCATCTATATAAAAAAAAACATTCACTAATTGAATAATCAAAATTTTAGTTTCAATCTTTGGTCAATAAGGTATAAGCAAAATATCAATGCGTCAAATTATGGAATAGCCACCCGGTTGATTTGTGAGGCTACGGAGAAATATACATAAAAGATTTTTCGTGTGATGATGCATGAAACGAGCGCAATCAGGTTCAATGCTATATATGATTTTTGACTTTGTTTTGCATTGTTTTGTTTGTCTTATTTCACTGTCATTTAAATTGGCTGAGTTTTTATTAATCGTAAAAATTATCTTTCCCCTATTGCAACACACATGTATTTTTGCTAGTCTCTACCTTAATAAAAATTGAAGATGTTTTTGCCGATATTTTGGTATGTCATACGTGTTTGAGTTAGTTTTTAAGTTTGTTTGCTTTTGGAAATACAAATCTGTATTTGAGTTGGATTATTTTAAGCTTGTTTGTTTTTGGAAATATAAAAGGAGTCGTATAAGAAATCTCTTTAAAGAAAACTCATGCTAACTTGAGATGAAATATGGACTTCTAATTGTAGCTCATGATTTTCTAAAAAAATATTTAAGCGAATTTCCACGGTGAATTTTATCCTCTAAACCATATAACAATAATAATATTAAAATAGCATTTACCCGTTATAATGCACGGATATTTTTTCTAGTTAAACATAAATTCAAAAGACCGAATTGGCCTAGTGATGCGCTGCAACCATCGTTCCACAAGTGAAAGAAGAAACCACTTGATGCTTCCTAAGATTATCCGCCGCCACCGTCGTCGTCGGGGAGCCCTTCCATCTGACCTCTCTTCATCTCCCATCTGCCAATGTCTTGCCGGCAATATTCTTTCTCATCTAGACGGCAGTCGTCGACGAGGTAGGCGCATCTGGGCTTCAACGCTGCCAGGAATTGCTCGGCCCGGAAGCACGCCGAGAATTCGTGGCCGAGGAAGACCAACTCGCCGCCGACGCCTCCACGAGCTTCTTCTCGTCGCCGAGCACCGTCGACCCTGAAGATCGGCAGATGTTTGGTGCAGAAAGGCGGGTCCCCGTTATCGCCGTCGCCGGCGAACCTCCAGACGATGTTGTTGTGTTGCCCTTTGGAAATCCACTTAAAAAAATAAACAGGAGAGATACAAACAATTTTACATACTCTTTTATTATCCTAGTAGCAAAATGTTTATGTGTTGCAACAGGAGAAAAAGAGTGAACATGTTATAGTAAAAATCATGAAACATCGTGTCTTATATTTACTTTTGTCAACATAACGGGCCTGTTCACTTTACTGCCAAAAAAAACCTTATCAAAGTTTGGCAACTATGCCAAAATTTTGGCAACTAGTGGTAGCTTGCCAAATTTTGGCAGGAATTCTTATATAGTTACTAAAATTTGGCAACAAACTAAATGTAGCAACTTTTTTGTCAACTTTATCAAAATTTGGTAAGGTTGAAAATGGCACCAAAGTGAACAGGCCCAACATGTCCAGCAAATCGTACTTGATTTATTTTACTTTCATCGGTTAATCCTCCTTGAGTAGCTATTCTCATGAGCACCAGAAACAGAACGTAATCAGAATTGAGAAACGCCCAGGAGTCTTCCGGCTAGCTCACAAGGTGGTGGGCTAGACAACCTGGGTTCGAATCCTCACCCCTTCTAATTATTTGATATTAGGTCATTCCCTTATATTTGCTTCTTTTTTTAAACATAACGTAATTAAATATAAAATTGTACTTATATTGAAACGGAGAAACGTAGTATTATTGCGCAATAAGCTGGCACTGTTATGGCCTCCAACAGTACGTAGCATCGTGGCATCTTACAGCACGGTATCATCTGGAGACATTGAATTTGAACGTCGATCAGGGCAAGAGAGACGTGCCGAGTCCGACTCGGAAAATGTGCGCCGTGTTCAGGCCCGTCCGAACCTAATCCAGCACGTACGGGTCTAACACAGCACAAAACATCTTTTTAATCATTCCAGTGTCTCTCAGGAAAATTATCGCGTTCATAGAAGCGTTTTAATTTGCTCTGTCGACCGACGATCGCCGGCGGCGGCGCCGTCAGATCAGCCATGGAGCCGACCGGCGCCGGCGCCGGCGTGATCCAGTGCTGGGAGACGCTTCCCGAGGATCTCCTCGTCACCGTCTTTTGCCAGCTGGAGATACCCGACCTCCTCCGCTCCGGCGCCGTGTGCGCGTCCTGGCACGCCGCGTACCGCACCTTCCGCCGCCTCCGCCTCCCGTCGCCGAAGCAGCCGCCGTGCCTACTCTACTCCTGCGACGCCTACGGCCCCGACGCCGCCGGACTCTACTGCCCATCCACCGGCGCCACATACCGCATCCCCGTGTCGTGCGGCGGCGGCGGCGGTGGCTTCCGTAACCTGACGCTGATCGGCTCGGCGGACGGGTGGGTCGTCGCCGCCGACGAGATCGGCAACCTACGCCTCCTGAACCCGCTCACCGGCGCCCACGCCGAGCTCCCGCCGCTGTCCACGATGCACCACGTCGAGGCCGCCGCCGACGAGGAGGACGAAGGCGGCGGCCTCGCGTACGACATCGTTGATCGCCTGTACAACCGGCCCAGCCTGGTGCGCGTCCCGGCGCGCGAGGTGCGGGATTGCATGTACTTCAGGGCGGTGCTCTCCTGCGGCCCTCACGCCGCCGCCGGCGGCGGCGACGCGGCGGCGTGCGTCGTGCTGCTCCTGCACATGCCCAGGTGCGAGCTCTCCTACGCTAGGCCCGGCGACGAGCGGTGGACGTGGATCTCGCCTGGCGCCGGCACCGGCCTCCGGTGGCGTAACCTGTACTGCGACGCCGCCTACTGCAAGGACGATGGCCTCTTCTACGTCGTGCGGGATGACGACTCCGTCCACGCCCTGGACCTCACCGGGCCATCGCCGGTGGCGAGGAAGGTGTTCGACGAGCGGACATGGAGCACGAGCTTACCATCCAGGTACCTCGAAGATGTCCACCTGCCATGCGCCCAACCTTGCAGATACCTCGTCAACACGCCGTCGGGCGAGCTCTTGCACGTCTGGAGGTTCAGGCAATGGGTCAGTTCCTACGATTCGTCATCTGATGATCAAGACGACTCCTCCAACGATTCGTCATCCGAGGATCAAGACGACGACTCCTACGATTCGTCATCTGAGGATCAAGACGACTCGTCCTCGAGAGACCTGTATGAAGATCTCATCACCAGGGACATACAGCTCTACAGGACTGACTTCCATGGAAAGAAGCTCGATGCGATGGACAGTCTAGACAATCATGCTCTGTTCCTCGGTTACAATACCTCCTTGTGCCTTCCAACGGAGGATTTCCCTGGATTGAAGCCCAATCATGCTTACATCACGGATGATTCGCTCGAGTTTGTCAACTATTTTAAACGAAATAAAAAAGAAATTGGCATGTGGAACATCGAAAGCCAGATCTTGGAGGGATTTGGTGGGGCGTCATCTCTTGAAGAACCTTGGTTAAATTGGCCTGCGCCTATTTGGATAATACCCTCCCTTTTGTAGACGAAATTATATTGTAACAACACTGAGGCGATAGTGTTGCGTTGCCCTTTGGAAATCCACTTAAAAAAATAAACAGGAGAGATACAAACAATTTTACATACTCTTTTATATTATACTAGTAGCAATATGTTTGTGTGTTGCAACAGGAGAAAAAAGAGTGAACATGTTATAGTAAAAATCATAAAACATCGTGCCTTATATTTACTTTTGTCAACATAACATGTCCAGCAAATCGTAATTAATTTGTTTTACTTTAATCGGTTAATCCTCTTTGAGTAGCTATTCTCATGAGCAGCAGAAACAGAAAGTAATCAGAAACAGAACGTAATTAAATATAAAATTGCACTTAAGCTGGCACGGTTATGACCTCCAACATATTTATCTATCTTGTCTTGTCAGCTGCAGGATTAAACTGACTAGCACACCCACATTTTATTAAGATTTGGACCTGCATTGGAGCTAAGCATATCTCCTAAGCCATTATGTTCATCGACTTAGTTCGCACCAACAAAGTTCTGGCACCATCAGTCGAGCGCGGATTTTTCATCAACACAAATTTGGCACGAACAGTGGGGCACGGATTTTATACCTATATGTTTGAAGAAGTCGACGCCAATATCCTGGTCGCAATGGAGAATTTGACGGAGGAACAGAGGCAACAGATTGATCAATCAGTGACTAATTTTCAAAAGTGTTATGTTCAATGTTTCTTCATGACGTAACAAGGACTGATTCAGAAGACACAATTTCCCAAGTCGATGATTGAAACACTTCAAAATACAGTTGATGAAGCAGTTCGTCGTGCTTTGCTTGATCAATCTGGAGTTTTGGTGGATACATTGTGAAATTTGATCAAAGGAACAGTTGATGAGTTAGTTGCTCAAAGACGCCAGCTCGGGGGGCAGATTGAAGAACAACAACAATATCGGCTTGGGGGACAAGCACATCAGTATCAGTAAGATGAATCATATCAACAATATCAGCTAGAAGAAACTCAAAAACATCATTATGGAGAAGATTGGGCATTTGGGCCGATAGAATTGCAAAGATGATAGATGAGCAGTTTGGAATCAAACTCAAGGACCAAACTTCTGTGTATCGGCTGCCATATCCTGAGTGGTTTGATAGGGTTCCATTGCCACACCGATACAAGGTTCCAGACTTCTCCAAGTTTCCAGGGCAAGATGATATATCTATAATGGAACACTTCAGCCGATTGTTAGTGCAATGTGGGGAAACATCTGCTAATGAAGCTCTGAGAGTTAGATTTTTTTCACTGTCTTTGACTGGATCGTCTTTCACATGGTTTTCATCACTACCGTCGAATTCTATCAGAGGATGTGCTGATCTTGTGAAGCAATTTCATGTCTACTTCTTTGTTGGAATCGATGAGTTGAAACTTTTACAATCATAGATCTTGCTGAGCTTTACGGAGCTTCAATACAATTTTCATATGGAGTTTGTCATGATCTGTGGTGCTCTCATTTTTTTAGGTAGACCTCTTTGAAAGATCTGGTCGCCAAAAGTCAAATTTTACAGGTTTTTCCTCATGAAAAATTCCTGTAAAAAAATCACCCCATTTCAAAGGGTAGTTTTCCTAATAAATCGTCTGCGAGAATAGACAAATTTTCATAGGCAGATTTGCCCAACCGTAAAAATAGGTTTTCAAATACGGTCTTTAACCCTTCACAGCCTCCCAACCATTTATACAAGCTCTGTTTCTTTTGGGCCGCCTGTGAAAATAAATGCACAGCGTCCAAAAATGATTTTGTTTTTTTTCTTTTTTACAAGTAGTGCATTTCTTCACCTCATGATACTTATCAAAGCATCATCCATGTATACTTATCAAAGCATACTTATCAATGTATGATAGATGTATCTCAAATGGACACGTGCTTTGTACTCGTTTTTTTCATCCTTCCAAAAATGGGAGAGATATTGCACAACAAAGCTTCCAGTGTTATTACCTCCAACACAAGAAAAATCTCATGTAGAGACATTTTCTAGAGGCGTTTTGCAAATTGCTTCTAAGATTAGGAGTTTAATAGTGTAGAGATACTTTATAGATACACTTTAAAAATTACGAAAACTTTTACTCTAAAGACATTTTCAGCTCATTAGATTTTATCTTGTAGAGCCATTCTTTCGACACTTTAAAATGTGTTGATATGTAAAGTCATTTTCTTGAGATATTTTAAACTATGTAGAGACACTTGTTAGAATAATAATATGTACTACAGGATTAAATATAAGTAACTAAATGTACAAACAGACGAGTAATGACATGGAGGTTAGTGCACTTAAGATATTTTATTCTCCTTTTTTAGACTGGTTTCATATGTTTGTGGTATAAATTAATGTATACAAAATTGCCTTTACCATGTTATAGATACTTTATAAAATATGAGACAATTCACTATGATACACTTATTAGATATTTTCAAAACGCCTCTACAGTATTATAAAGAAATTTGAAAAATGTCTCTATAGTACTTTAAAAAAATATCTCTACTATAAACATTTTTCTTGCATCTTACACGGTATCATCTGGAGATAAGATAATGAACGTCGTCAGAACAAAACGTTACATGGTGGCATATCGTATATATGGTTCGGTCTCTCGTAAAAAGGGCAAGAGACGTGACGAGTCCGACACCGAAAACGTGCACCGGCCGTGTTCAGGTCCGTCTCCGAACCTAAACCTGCACAGGGTTAACACAGCACAAAACATCTATCATTCCAATCTCGCAGGGGAAAGAATAATCCTCTATTCGATCCGGAAAGGTTTCTGCTCTGTCGATCGATCGAATCGCCGGCGGCGCCGTCAGTCATGGAGCCGACCGGCACCGGCGCCGCCGTGGTCGCCGATTGGACGAGGCTGCCGGAGGATATACTGGTCACCGTCTTTTGCCAGCTTGAGATACCCAGCCTCCTCCTCTCCGGCGCCGTGTGCGCGTCTTGGCACGCCGCGTACCGCACCTTCCGCCGCCTCCGCCTCCCGTCGCCGAAGCAGCCGCCGTGCCTCCTTTACTCCTGCGACGCCTATGGTCCCGACGCCGCCGGACTCTACTGCCCTTCCACCGGCGCCAAGTACCGCATCCCCGTGTCGTGCGGCGGCGGTGGCGGCTTTCGCAACCTGACGCTGATCGGCTCGGCGGACGGGTGGGTCGTCGCCGCCGACGAGATCGGCAACCTGCGCCTCCTGAACCCCCTCACCGGCGCCCAGGCCGAGCTCCCGCCGGTGTCCACGATGCACCACGTCGAGACCGCCTTCGACGAGGACGAAGGCGGCCTCGTGTACGACATCGATGAGGATCCATCCGAACACCCCCCCCCCCCCCCCGTGCGCATCCCGGCGCGCGAGGCGCAGAACTGCATGTACGACAGGGCGGTGCTCTCCTTCGGCCCTCGTACTCGCGCCGGCGACGCCGCGGCGGCGTGCGTCGTGCTGCTCCTGCACAAGCCCATGTGCGAGCTCTCGTACGCCAGGCCCGGTGACGAGCGGTGGACGTGGGTCTCGCCGGGCGCCGGCACCGGCCTGCAGTGGCGCAACTGGTACTGCGACGCCGCCTACAACAAGGACGATGGCCTACGTCGTGCGGCGAGACGACTCCGTCCATGCCCTGGACCTCACCGGCCATCGCCGGTGGCGAGGAAGGTGTTCCATGAGCGAGAATGGAGCGAGAGCCTAGCTTCTAGATTCCTCGAGAATGTCCATGGGCTATGTGGCATCCCTTTTAGGTACCTTGTCCACACGCCGTCCGGCGAGCTCTTGCACGTCTGGAGATTTAGGGATAGCGTCAGTTCCTACGATTTGTCGTTAGATGATCAAGACGACAACGATGACGATGACGATGACGACTCCGGTGACTCGCTTCAAGAGGAATCCTCACCGGAGGATGAGGACGACGACTCATGTGACCCACCTGATGAGGAGCTCGTCACCGAGGACATACAGCTCTACATGACTGACTTCCATGGACAGAAGCTCGAGGCGATGGACAGCTTGGATGATCATGCGATGGACAGCTTGGATGATCATGCTATGTTCATCGGTTACAATGCTCCCTTGTGCCTTCCAACCAAGGATTTCCCTGGATTAAGCCCAAATTGCGTCTACATCACGGATGATTCACTCGAGTATATCAACTATTCTAGAAGAAACAACAAGCGAGACATTGGTGTGTGGAGCATCGAGGATCAGAAATTGCAAAGCCTTGGAGGAGCATCACCTATTAAAGATCCTTGGTTAAATTGGCCCGCTCCAATCTGGATAACACCCTCCCTTTTATAGGGGAAATGAATATATGTTCCTGAGACATGATTATTAAATCTTACTAGTTAATTGTTTTGACACTGGTGTGCTACCCTAGATTTGTGGCATCATAAACTATTGCTGTTATTGTAACAGGGTGTCCTCACCTTTTCATTAGTTGATAACATTTTTCATCATTGAATAACAAGCATGGATTTTTCCATTAAAGCCGTACACGACTCTCTGATAGGTCCAACCATATTTTTATTTTTGAATTGGTTCTTTTGTTCAGGTTGTAACGGGACAACAAATACTTAACATATATACCTCGGGTACAGCCAAACCACGCTCGTCAAGTCTGTGCTCTCAGCGCAGCCAATTTTCCTCCTGACTGCCTTGGGCTGGCACGGGTGATATCACCGGGGGAGAAATGTAAAGTCAATTGGACAAAGGCGTGCCTGCCAACCAGCCAGGGGGTTTAGGAGTCCTAAATTTGGGACAAGTTCACAAGGGCCTTGAGATTGCGATGGTTATGGCATGAATGGAAGGACTCGATCAAGCCGTGGGTGGGACTGGACGCCATGTGATGGATTAGATAAGGACCTTTTTGCTACCTCGACAAAGATAACCGTCGAAGATGGGAATACAACACGCTTCTGGGACTCTGCATGGATTGGTGGGCAAAGACCAAAAGATCCCTCATGCCACTTGTCTATGGGATCTCCAAAAATAGAAGAAAATCCATGCGCCAAGGGAAAGAGGGCGACGCCTGGGTGCATGACCTGACCCTTGATGTGGCCTCACCTATCACAATCAACCTCGCCGAGCAACTGGTCCGTTTGTGGGAAGCAGTTCGGAATGTGCAACTAGACAGCGAAGAACCGGACCAGATTGCCTGGAAATTCACAAGTAATGGGCACTACACAGCTTCCTCGGCCTATCATGCACAATATTTAGAGGCGCCAAACTCAAGTCTAAACTCCCTGATCTGGAAAGTCTTGGTGCTGGGGAAATGCAAATTTCATGCCTAGCTTATTATCGAAAATAGAGTCTGGACATCTGACCGGCTTGCGACAAGAGGTTGGCAAAATAATGGGCATTGCCCTCTCTGCCGTTCTGAAGCGGAGATGGGGCTGCACCTTGTCGCCAAGTGCAGATACACAAAGAGAATTTGGCACCTTGTAGCTACTTGGACGGGTTATTAATAATTGGAGCCGACTAAGTGGGAGGACGCCCGGTCAGTCCACCAATGGTGGGAGAGCTTGGCAAATACACCCGACGTCCCAAAAAAGGGCCTTCGATCCCTCATCCTGCTAGTCGTTTGGGAAATCTAGAAGGAGAGGAACCGGCGGATCTTCGACCACAAAGAGGCGGCAACAGGCTTTCTCCTAACACGAATCAAGGAGGAGGCCAGTCTATGGGCTCTAGCGGGGGCTAAAAGATTGTGTGAACTCGTACCGCACATTGTATAGTGTATAGCTCAAAGTTTCTTTTCTTTACCCTTAGGGGTTGTATTTTCCCCTGCTCTATTCAATGAAAAAGCACTACTGTGTTGTTTTCCGTTCAAAAAAAAAATACCTCATGTACCATGAGATACTGAAATTTGTATTAGATATAAACAGTGTCGAGCAAATTTGCCGTTCCGCTATCAGATGGGTATTATGCAATTATATCAGCATCCCAGTTTCTTATGTTTTTCAACATATTATATGAACTGAACATTTTTTATTGGAATAGTTCCCTTGCTTCCCTTGGGACAATGCCATTATAGGTATAATATAATTAAATTTTGTCCCTCAAGTTATTTTGTCAATTTTATTTGTCTCATAACCCTGAAGCTTTCATAATTTCTGTCATAACAGTATTACACCATTCTTGACCAATTACCTGCGTTTTCTTCTTAGTTATTATTTTCACCTATGCACAGACCACCATATATTACACATATGAAGAATTTTCACCTATGCAGTACCACCGTATATTACACATATGATCAATGTCTGACGTACTATGTAACATTATCAGGTATTTCGTGCTGAGCAGCAAGATAGATGCTTTGTTCGAGAAGAGAAGTGGCTCGTATATGAGAAACACTCGACTCAGTCATGGCAAGTTGCCAAGTTTGACTAGCATTTTCCCTGCATTTTTTAGGGGGCTTTTTGCCAGATTAGCCCTTTTCATGATGAGACTTTTTTTCATGCAAGAATTTGATTCATGGGAGAAAGTGCTTGAAGAATACTCCCTCCGTCCCAAAAAAACAAACCCTGGTTTCCGTCCAACGTTTGACCGTCCGTCTTATTTAAAAAAATTATGAAAAAATTAAAAAGACAATTCACGCATAAAATATTAATCATATTTTATCATCTAACAACAATGAAAATACAAATTATAAAAAAATTTCATATAAGACGGACAGTCAAAGTTGGACACGGAAACCCAGAGTTTTGCCTTTTTTTGGGACGGAGGGAGTACAGTCATTCCAGTTTCTGTCCTTGATAATCTTCTTTCTTTGGAGTCTTTTACCCCTATGCCATTAAAAAAGTTGGAGGTTACGTGTATGCCACAAAAAAGTTTTGAGTCACCTGTATGCCATGACACAAACTTTCGTTTACCTGTGAGCCACTTTGGATGGAATCAGCACTAACGGAGACTAACAGAGGTTTGAAAGGTCTATTTTGCCCCTTGCTCTATTTCAGCCACGCTGGCGGCGGTGTGCGGCGCCGGGGGCGAGGCGAGGCGGCTTGCTGCGCCGGCCTGGGCACGCCGGCCTGGGGGCGCCGGCCTGGGGGCGCCGCCGGATCTGGCGAGGCGACGCGAGACGAGGCGAGGCGGCGGCGGCGGCATGCCGGCGAGGCGGCGGTGGAGCGCCGGCGACGGCGACGACTGGCGGCGGCGTGCCGCGCCGGGGGCGAGGTGAGGCGGCTTGCCGCGCCGGCCTGGGCACGTCGGCCAGGGCGCGCTGCCGGATCTGGCGAGGCGAAGCAGCGGCGGCGGCATGCTGGCGAGGCGAGGCGGCGGTGGCGCGCCGGCGACGGCGACGACCGGCCGCGCCGGCCTGGGCGCGCCGCCGGATCTGGCGAGCGAGGCGGCGGCGGCGGCGGCTAGGCTAGGCTAGGGTTCGAGTGGAGGCGCACGGGAGAGGAGGAGTAGAGATGAAAATGCTTCAGGGGCAATTTAGTCATTTTCATACGTGGGTCCCACATGTCATAGCGCATTCTCTAACAGAAGGTGGATGGAATGGCACACGGGTAAACGAAATTTTGTGTCATGGCATACAGGTGACTCAAAACTTTTTTATGGCACACGCGTAACCTCCAACTTTTTTAATGGCATAGGGGTAAAAGACTCTCTTCTTTGAGTGTATCGACCCAGTTTCAGAGGCAGGCACAACAGCCACAGTCTAGTCCACTGCTGGAGCTAAAACTTTACAGTTCTGAACATTTTGATGATGTAAAGCAGAATTTTCTGTCATATACTATCGACATCAGGGGGACTATTTGATAGCTTCCGTTTCTATATATCTTCAGCTTTACAGTTGTACTACCAGATATCATACAACAACAGGGTAGTAAAGTATTCCAGTTATGCATTGTTTTTAGGATGATATACCACATATCTTAAGTAATTACTTCGAAACTACTTTTCTTGCATGTGCGAGTACGCATCGTAAGAAGGGTACCGCTCAGTTTTGTATCCAGATCGATCTTACTTTGTTATGTGTTCTTTCAGTCGAGTACTCGAGTGAAGTATCCAGTATCCACCCAAGTTTCCAAATTTTCAGGATTTAGAAGATATATCAGTTTCCAAAATTTTGATATTCAATAGGTAGATTGTTGAAAAAATATCATTGCAAAGATACGTGAATTGCAAAATACCATTATATATAAAAACGACATGTAGGTTCCGGACCTATATGTCAATGACGTATACGATATACAATGGCATTTTCCAACTTTACGATTTTTTGCGATGATGCGAAACAAATTGGCCCCTCATGTTTCTTTTTCTAAAGTGGATATCCAAATCACAGCACAACATTACTGCCATGGTATTTTTGCAATATCACTTCATCTATAAAAGGGAGGGTATTTCCAAATAGGCGCATGCCAATTCAAGTATTGGCGAGCCATAAGGGCTTTGCAACAATATATGCCGCACAAGTCGAGAGAGAGAGAGAACCCCTGAACTACTTAAGCTGTATAAATGGCTCTCAAACAATGTAAAAATGTTCGAATAACATAGAGGTCTCGACATGGTTCGAATAACATGGTTATTGATGTGGCCAGAATATAAACAACACTGGAAAAAAAAACTATTCATGAAAAAAACAAAGTACATAAATGATGATGTATGATCATGAATTTCATTACGTTTTAATAGAATAGATAGTAGATTTACATTCACAATTGATCAGTTATCACCTCCATTTGGTGAAACGTTGTTACTGGTAAGTGAAGATCTGATGGAAAAGTTGGCAGCAATGAGACATTTTGTCAATCTTATCTTTGTATCATAACATCAGAAAGCCACAGTAACTTTTACAATGTTTTACCTAAACATATTGGACGCAGTTACAACTTACAACACCATACATAAAAAAAAGAGGAACATGAAGCCTTCAAGGAAAGTAACTTAAGATGTCACTTAAACAGGAGTACAAACAAAAGTATTATTCAAACAAGAGCACCTAACTATAGTAGAGAAAGAATTTGTCCCAACAGGACAAATTACTACAGGTTGAATTTATCCAAATTGAAGCTCTTGAGCTCTAGCCCACTAGTCGATCGAGGGCATATCAAATGTATCCAAATAGGAGCTCCCACTGTTACTCAACTCTCTCTCATTAATAAATGGAGGGAGTAATCCAAATTGGAGGTGGCCAGTTAAGCCAAGGAAGGACATAAGGTGGATCACCAAAGCTTTCAAGAGTCTCACTCTTGAAGTTCCAAATGCCCAGCTCCCGCCAAGTATGTTTATTTACACATATTTCTTCGTAAGCATCATCCGCAAGATACGCACAACCTGCCTTCAAGTTTGGAAAATCCTTAGCTGAAAGGCAAACACTGGAATTGAAACCCATGAAAAGAACATAATCTTCCAGTGAATCCATCTTGACAAGTTTCCGACCATCGATATCGACCTTGAACAGCAGTATTTCATCCGTGTACAGCTCCTGACATGGATCATAAACATCATCACAATCCTCCGGAGGGAAGCGTACGGGCGTATCAACCCAACGCGGATCCCTACACCTCCAGACCTGCACCATATCGCCGCGGGGCGTCACGGCGATCGATTTGTTAGGATTATCCCAGAGCGCGATTTCTTTGAAAATCAGGCTTGCGACCGGAGAAGAAGGTCCATTCAGATTTAGCGTATGGATCGAGCCCAGACAGTTTAACAGGTAGAACAACCTGTCATTCTTGTTGTAGAATGCATATCTGTAGCCCGTTTCCGGGAGATTCTCGATGCCGGTGAGCCGTGTCCAGCTCCGGTCGCCGACGCGGGCGAAGGAGAGCTCCCCGTCCGGCCTGTGCAGGAGGAGGACGATGCACTCGCTTCCGGCGGATGGGCTGCAGGAGAGGGTGACCCGGTAGTACAAGAAAAGGCGTAATCTCTGTGGATGATACGGCACGGGTAGCCACTGAGGATCATGGCGGCGCATCCAATTGTCCTGATTGCTGTACATGAGGCGGCCTCGATCATCGGTGAAGCTCTCGACGTGGTAGAGCTCCGTGACGGGCGGGAGATCGATCTGGACGCCTGATAGCGGGTTGATCACCTGCAGGTTGGAGAGCTCGTCGGCGGTGGCGACCCAGCCGTGGTCGGAGCCGACCATGTAGCGGCGGCGGAACGCGGGAGACGGTAGGCGGAGCTTGAAGGTGGCGCCGCTGCTGGGGCTGTAGACCGTGGCGACGTCATCGTCATCGGCGTCGGCGTCACAGGAGTAGAGGAGGCATGGTGACTTGTCGGTGATGGGGAGGCGGAGGGAGGTGTAGGTGGAGCGCCACGACGAGCAGACGGCGCCGGCGTTGAGGAGGTCGGGGATCCCCAGCTTCCGCATCACCAAGAATAGGATGTCGTCGGGGAGACTCGTCCAGTCCGCCGCCGCCGCCGCCATGGTGGCCGCCGCGACCGCGAGGAAACCCTAACCCTAGTTGGAGCCCTAAAAACAATGGGAATTGGGGATTTCTTTCTTTGCTTCGTCCCTCGCGCGCGTCCTCACTTCGTCTTCTCGGATTCGTCGAGCAGCGCTGACCTCTCAAGAGGCAACTTTTCCTCTTTCTTCTTGGTGATTTGGTTCGCTCTTGCATAAAGGGCCAAAAAGACGTGCCGAGTCCGAGTTCCGTGGTGCTAAAAACAAGCGACGTTGGCTGGAGCCGAACAAAAGCTGAGCGCGCTAAATGGGCCGGGTAGGATTTGGACTTGTGCGGCCTGGCCTTGAACTGTGTGGGCCAGATTAGACTGGGCCAGCTTTGGCGGGAAATTTTGAATTAAACACAAGTAGCAGCCCAAGCAACGGTATGGCCTGTGGAGCGTGGTCTCGCGGACGCCGGCATCAGCTGCTTTAGAAGGTCATCATCGCGGACATATACCCTTCGTCCCATAAAAGCATTTTTTTAAAGATAAACCTGAACAAATACTTATTTGAATCCATCATTAGAAATTGGTTTTTATGGGACACAGAGAGTATAGCCTTATAGGACTATCTTCCATGGACAGAAGCTCGAGGTTATAGACAGTTTGAATGATCATGTTCTGTTTCTCGGTTACAATGCCAGCAACAAGGATTTCCGTATATTTGGACTCTAATTGTGCCTATATCACGGTCGAGTTTGTCAACTATTTTAAATACAAGCGAGAAATTGGCGTGTGAAGCATCGGATGTCAGAGCTTGCAAAGCCTTGATGGTGTGCCACCCCTCAAAGATCCTTGGTTGAATTGGCCTAAGCCTACCCTCCCTTTTATAGATGAAGTGATATTGCAACAACAACGAGGCGGTTGTGCCTACCTCACCAACGACTACGACAAATTTAGCGTGATATTGGTAGATGGACACAAGGCAGGGAAGATGGAAAGGCTCGCCAACAATGCCAGCGTGGCGGCGCCGTTGTACCCTTGGCCCGGCTCCAGTCTGGATGACGCCCATCCCTCCTCCCGCCAGGATCTTTTGCCTTTAACATGAATTCATCAATAAAATGTCATTTGCATTTTGCAAGATATTTGATCTGTTTTGTCGAATGGATTATTATCTTCTCGGTAAAATTTATGTCGCTACCTTTTCATCCTCCTTAATGGAGTATGATGTGTATTTCTTAGCTGACATGCAGAGAAGTCGGGGCAATGCAATGGCAGTAAGGGGGACTCTGGGAGTATGGGCTTCAACGGGCCACACCATTTGTTGGACTTTTACTAGTTTTGAATTCAAAATTTTCCCACCAAACCAGCCCACGTCACTGGAGGCCAGGCCGCCAAAATCCAATCCAAACCAGCCCACTTAACTCTCGCAGACTTTTCTTGGGCCAGGCCTACGTCGCAATAATGGGCCCGAAACACGCCGTGGTGCAGGCGGCCCAGTATTTGCCTTATCCACTGGGCGGGTCTGGAAGACTGAACTTGGAACGGCTCTGAAACAAGTTACGTACTAATACTGTGCTAAAAATATACTGCCTGTCCCTAAAATATGAAGGATTTTAAGTAGATGTGACGTATTCTACTACTACGAATCTAGACATGACGAGAGTACTACTGCTGAGTCCTGACAGAGGGAGAAAGAGACACAGAGTACACCATGAACTACTTAAGTTTTATAGTGGCTCTCTCAAACCAGGCAAAGCTGTTTGTTCATCCTAGAGAGGTCTCGACATGGTTCGAATAACATGGCTATTGATGTGGCATACTGCAGGCATCATCATAGAACAAATAATCATGTACATTTTTTTTCTTGAGAACCCATATGCATGCCTCTTCACATTTAAAATAAAGACAAAATTGGTTTTATAGCATCAAACGTTTGTGATTTTTGTATGTTAGCACCGAAAGTTCGTTCTTCACTCCAATAGCACCAAAATTTTGATGTTGTTAAAGTGAACTATGAATTTTCCCTTGGTGCTATAAAACCAAAATAACGAGCTTTCGATACTATAGAACCATTTTTAAAAGAAAAAACATAAAATGATGATGTATGATCACGAGTTTCATCAAGTTTTAATAGCATAAATAGTAAATTTACTGAAGCGTATATTACATTCACAATTGATCAGTTATCACCCCAATTTGGTGAAACATTCAGTGGTATAACTAGTAAAGTGAAGCTGAGATGGCAAAGTTGCTAGCAGCAATGGTACAGTATGTCAATCTTTTGTAGAAGCCTAAAAACTTTCACAATAATTTGCTGATCAGTTAACTTAGCTCTCAACATATTCAGAGACAATGATAGCACAGTGAAAAAAAAAAGGCTAGCAGCTCCAAACACTTTATGTAACTGCAACACTGGATTGACAACAATCGTCTTGTTTCTTCAGAAAGAGGTATCAAAATAAACACTGGCACCTAAGTTAGCTGAAGGTGTCACCTATATAGGAGCTTCTAACCAACAACGGTGTTATTCAAACAAGATGACCTAACTAATACAGAAAGAATTTGTCCCAACAGGACAAATTACTACATGTTGAATTTGAACAAATTGGAGCTCCTCAGCTCTTGCCCTCTTGTATTAAACAACAGAGATCGAGCTCCCATCAATACACATAATTCATCTAAATAGGAGCTCCTGACAATAACTCAGCTCTTTCTTTCTAAAGAATGGAGGGCGTAATCCAAATTGGAGGTGGCCAGTTAAGCCAAGGAAGGACAGACTGTGGATCACCGAGGCTTTCAAGAGTCTCACTCTTGAAGTTCCAAATGCCAACCTCCCGCAGAGTATGTTTATTTATACCTATCTCTTCATAAGAATCATCTGCGAGATAGGCACAACCTGGCCTTAAATTTGGAAATTCCTTAGCTGAAAGGCAGATACTGGAATTGAAACCCAGGAACAAAACATAATCTTTCAGTGAATCAATCTTGTCAAGCTTCTGATCATCGAAATCAACCTTGTACAGCAGCATTTCATCCGTGTACAGCTCCTGACATGGATCATGAACATCTTCAGAATCCTCCGAAGGAAACTGAACCGGAGCATCATTCCAACACAGCTCCCTGCATCTCCAGACTTGCAACATATCGCCGCGGGGTGTCATCACGATCGATTTGGTAGGATTATCCCAGGCAGTGACCCCTTTCAAAATCTCGTTTACAACGGGAGAGGGTCCATTCAGATTTAGCGTATGGATCGAGCCCTGAAAGTGTAACAGGTAGAACAACCCGTCATTCTTGTTGTAGACTGCACATCTGTAGCCTCTGTCCCAGAGATTTTCAATATCAGTGAGCCTTGTCCAACTATGGTCGCCGATGCGGGCGAAGGAGAGCTGCCCGTCCGGGCTGTGCAGGAGGAGGACGACGCACTCGCTCCCGGCGGATGGGCTGCAGGAGAGGATCACCCGGAAGTACAAGAAAAGGCGTAATCTCTGTGGAGGATACGGCACGGGAAACCCAAGAGGATCATCGCGGTGCATCGAATCCTCGTAATTGTTGTACATGAGGCTCCCTTGCTCGTCGGTGAAGCTCTCGACGTTGTAGAGCTCCGTGACGGGCGGGAGATCGATCTGGACGCCTGATAGCGGGTTGATCACCTGCAGGTTGGAGAGCTCGTCGGCGGTGACGATCCAGCCGTGGTCGGAGCCGACCGTGTAGCGGCGGCGGAACGGCGGGCCGGGCAGGCGGACCTTGAAGGTAGCATTGTTGCTGGGGCTGTAGAACGTGGCGAGATCTGGATCATCCGCCTCACAGGAGTAGAGCAGGCAAGGCGACTTGTCCGTGATTGGGAAGCGGACACGGCGGACGGCCGTGCAGGCGGCGCGCCATGAGGCGCAGACGGCCCCGGCGCTGAGAAGGTCGGGGATCTCCAGCTTCCCCATGACGACGATCACGATGTCTTTGGGGAGACTGGACCAATCCGAGATACCCATGGATGCGCGCAAGGAGCCGAACAACACAAGTACGAATGAAATCGAATGGAATTAGGGATTTCTTCCCCCCAAATTCGTGGATCCGTCAAGGCTCTTCTCTTCTTCCCACGATCTGCGTTTCTCGCTGGACCGCGGATTTAAGCAAGCCCTCGCCGACGGAAACCGAATCGGTCGGCAGGGCGCCGCAAGATCGGATTCGAACCATCACAGATTCCGATTCCGATTCCGATTCCGATGCGGACCAGCTAGCGGTTGAGTGGACGGCGAGGCGGCGGCGCTATGGCGGGATGGAAGGCAACTATGGTGGACGAGCTGGCGGCGAGAGGTGTGGCGGGGAGGACGGAGGCGCAGCCGCGGAGATGGGGATCGGCAGGGCATCGCTCACGGTGGCGGCGCTGGGGAAGACGTGGGACCTCTCACTCCTAGGCTAGGGCTTCGCTGTGGGCGAGCTTTCTTTGGATCAAGAGAAATTTGGGATTATATTATATTATTAAAAGTGGTCTTTCCTGAAATGCTATGGTATAAAAAGGTTTTGATAAGATGTTACTCTCAACTAGTAGAGGTTGAGGTATTTGTTAAAATGTCATTTCGTTTGTTTCTTCCGAATCAAAATCATTTTTTTCTCTTTTTCATAGTTAGATGGATCAAAATGCCCTTGACTAGAATGACTAAGGGCTTCTTGCTGGGAACACAAATCCATGAAGAGATAATCCAAGAAATGCCATTGACAAGCGTCCAAGTCCCAGAAATGCTATCGACAAGTGTGAGTTCCATGAAATGCCATCGTACAAATGATTTTGTCCCAAAAATGCCATCGCCGTTAGGGTTCCGTCCATTTTGCGCCGTTAAATACACTGTTCATCCTATAGAACTTAACGGCACGGAGTGGACGGAACCCTAACGTCGATGGCATTTTTGGGACAAAGTTGTTTGTACGATGGCATTTCTTGGAACTCATACTTGTCGATGGCATTTCTGGGATTTGGATGCTTGTCAATGGCATTTCATGGATTATCTCATCCATGAATTTTATGGTATTTTTATAGCAATCAGTTTAATTCCAATAAAATTCCTCCAAAAATCCTACATTGCGAAGAATCCCTAAGCCAGACGACATCAAGTCTCTATCTAGATATTTATATAAAAACATTACACACAGATTATTTTTGGTAACTAATAAACTGTTACGACTTATAATTAGCTCCTGGCCAATCGATTGGGTTCTGAATACCTAGCTCAAGCCACGTGTTGTCAACTTCTCGCCATCTACTCGCCCCACCGTCGCCTCCCACCATAGCCCCACTGCCTTCATCGAGCCGCTGCCACCCCTATCAAACCCTAATGCACATGGTGCCACCAGGGCAAGCGAGGTACGTCGGCCGGAGGCGTTGTCCCGTTGTCCGAAGGCCGCCAATGACACAACAATACAACACCACATGAGGAAAGTTAGGTTATGGTTATGGTTATGGTTATCTTGGGGTGGTGACAACATCAGCTCGGTGTAAGCGACGTTGCTGGGAATTGTTGCCGGTTGGTCAACTTGTCAGAGGAGCGTGGGGCTGGCGTCGATGAGCGGGGGATGGTGGAAGGAGGTTCCACCTAGCTATCATCTACCTGATTAGAGGGATATTTAACTTTTTTTTTCATTTTCAAGATGTGTCAATTAAGGATTTGTTACTCGATGTTTATGCATGTGGGTCCTCATGTGTGTATGACATGTGGATCTAGTGGTAAATTCTTTATCACCACTTATAAGAGTGGCAAATAGTTAATTATTGCACCTGATTAAACGATGAAACATTAGGACAAGCGAGAAGGCTTGATTTGGATTCAACCATGGGCATTTTGGTCAGCCAAACTATGAGAAAAGACCAAGATGATTTTGACTCAGAAAAATGGCATTGGAGGGAAGACCCCTTTTGATTGAGAGTGGCACTTTACCGAAATTTATTTATGGCTCAACTGAATCCATGGCATTGGTGTGTTCTCTTTTACACTGAATGGCTGAATAGTTGGATGGTTTGTGATAATTATTTGAGAATACAAACGAATGAATTAACTACTATATAAAGCTGAAAATGTATTTAAAACAGTGTCCTAAGAAATTCATATATAGAAACTTTTCTTTTAGAAAAAACACATCTTTTGTAAGCTCGGCAAGCGTGCATATCCATCCATTCGGGGAAGTACGTAGTATACTAATACTTCCAACTAACTTCATGTAGTGTTGGTTAAGCGGGCATCTTAAATTAGAGACTATAGCATCTAAATTTGATGGCGCTCGAATCAAGTATCTCTCCGATTACGAACCCAGAATTATGGGTACATTTGCTTTCAGATCATTACTGTCGTAAACCTCTACGTTCTGGCATGTACAATCTCAAATTTTCAACATATCAGTAGTAGCAAACAGAACAGACGACAGACTTTTTTTTTTCTGGCGTAAATCTAACCCAGAAGAGAAATGTCGAATTGTCGATCTCACCAAGTATGTAATCTCCTGTATTGTATATACATGACCATGCCGTGGGCTGGGCGCGATGATCTCAAAGCAAAGGAGAATGGGAGATGCTCTCTATTCAATGCCTCAGCACTCAACATCACAACAGCAGTCAGCAAACGGTTGCAATCCTTGATGTGCTCCAGGAGAGGATCAGAGGACTGCCTCAATGCTAAACCTACAATGCTAAAGCCACATCAAACTTTTTGCTGCAGAGGACCCAGGAACAGTCTAGTGGGCGTCGATTATATCACAGCAACAGTCCAGGGTCACGCTTCTTGGCATGCTTAAAGCCAGACTGCAAGGAGACAAAACACAAATGGTGATGATATGGAATAACTCTGAACCAAATGTGAGTTAAATTCAAATGTGAAAGTTGACTAGGAATTGCCTTGACTATGCCCTTCATCATGTCCATGTCGCAAGCAAAGGATCGCCCCTCATCATCACAGCATACCTAACAAACAATTTGAAAATTACCCAGATAAGTACTACACAGGATGCTATTTATGATAATAGTAGAAACAAACCTATGGTAATCTGACACCACTTTCGCTCAAAAAAAGATAATCTCACTAAAATTACTTATTGCCTAGAAATTGATCCATCGACCAAAATGTCACAATAAAAAGTGATAGCAAGAACATGTTTCAATCAACTGATTTGGCAAGGATAACATAAATGACAACTCCAATATAAATATACCCCAGACTATTTTATGAAATACTTTTCATATGAAAACAACATTTTTGCAGCATAAATTACAGCCCCCTATCATCACCTTTTGACTAAGCACATCGAATTGATCTTACAAGTTACTTCCACGCGTGAAGTACATTGAACCTCGAGAAGAAATGATTTCACATTTTCACATATATGCATAAAAAGCAAAAACTTCTCTCAGCACATACCGCAGACGCCAGAGTATACATGCTCTCTGAATGCAGACCTTTATAGACATGACTAATGGCCAACTCTGCTGTTTTAGTGGGGACCTCATTCACACAGTTGCATTTCTTCTCAATAATGTGTAACCCAAAAAGAGTGTGCGTTTGGCATATACAACCAAGAAATTTTGGCACCAGAGATTCACCCTTGAACTCAAAATGCAAAGGAGTTTGTGCCATGTGCAACCTCTCAAGAACTGATTCCACAACTCTGTACACAGTGATGTTTCCAGCCTGCAATAATAAAATCATTTATGTCATTAGCTATGAAAGCAACATGCTGAAAAATTTTCTATGTTACAGCCAACATGCATACTCAGAAATGCAAGTGGAATACAGAAATTGGTCTGCAGTCAAGAATCAAAAGACAATACAAAGGTAACTCATGGATCAAACTTAGTAAGAACCTGCCACATTCTATCGCAAGAAATAGGATTTTAATCTAATCTACTCCGAAGAAATGCAAATTGGTGCACAAAATGGCCAAAAGATTATCATGGACTCACATGGATCACATAAATATTTACTTTTGTTTCTTTTAACAATTCGTATTATCTCCAGAACTAAAGGCCTAAAAAACCAAATAATAATTTAGTGTATTAGATGAGCGAACCAATGATACTATGTAAAACAAGCTTGGGAATAGTACATAGTACCAATAAAGTGGTTTAAGGACACTATTTTGCCTATCTGTTCTAAGAGTGCCCAAGTGGAACCATGGAGTAAAAAATCGAAAGATATTAGGGAGTGAGACCTATGACCTATCCAGTTCATTTTACATTAAATATTTATCCAATATAACTATGAGTAAAATATATATGGAGACGGTTAGCCTCTGATAAGAAATTTTCTATGTGATCTTTCCCAGAGATGCAGACTGCAAGTAGATAAGTGGGAAACAAATAGTGAATACAGCAGACCTTTTCATCAATCACAAAACATCTCAAGGAATCTACCATGAATATCACTGAGGGCCCGTTTAGTTCCCCAAAATTTTTTCCCAAAAACATCACATCGAATCTTTAGATATATACATGAAGCATTAAATATAGATAAAAAGAAAAACTAATTGCACAGTTATGGGGGAAATCGCGAGACGAATCTTTTAAGCCTAATTAGTCCGTGATTAGCCATAAGTGCTACAGTAACACACATGTGCTAATGACGGCTTAATTAGTCTCAAAAGATTCGTCTCGCGGTTTCCAGGCGAGTTCTGAAATTAGTTTTTCCATTCGTGTCCGAAAACCCCTTCCGACATCTGGTCAAACGTCTGATGTGACACCCAAAAATTTTCTTTTCCCCAACTAAACACACCCTAAACAAGGTAAGTCACATGTTGTGCACTACTTCTCATGATCCCAAGAATGCAGAGAAAATCACAGAGAGGTAAATTGATAGCTAAATATTAAAAAAAAAAACTGAAGGAGTCAAACACAAGTTAACCAGAGAATCACATCCAATCGAACCTGTCGTTCATAACCATTTTGTGGACGAGGATTATTAGCCAGTTTTTCCTGTCAACAATAAATATCATACATAAGGAAAAAAGTTATACTAGAAAACATGCTTTATCACAAGTTCAGTTCGTGCTGAAAGAACTATACTGACCCATAGGCAGGCCTTTGCCATAGGTGAGATGACCGTAAGATAATCTACTTGACAATTTTTCAAAAGCCATTTTTTCCAGTAATCCACCTCAGCATCAGGTAATAGCATCCCAACTTGTGCAGAGCCAATCTGTAAATACAGCAGCTAGGATTTAAGCACTGATCAACGAGATTAAAATGCTGCTATAAAATTAGAGAGCAACCAGAAGTTAACAAGAGGAAGACGATACCGCAGAATGAAAATAAGGCTTGAACTTGTACATGATGTACAGAATGTTGAGAAAAGTGACTTCGGAATCAATGAGCTCAAAGACAATTTCCTTAGCCCTGCTCAAGATCTTTTTCCTCTCTGCCAAATCATCTCCATCGGTTGTCTCCCATCTCCATGATTCGAGAAGCTCTTTCTCACAGTCAGATGCTCTTTTGGGTACTGATGATAGCAATTCCAATTCCTTCCTAATACGATCCTCATCCATAAGCCTCATGAGATACTGCAGGTATCAAGAGAAAACCAGAGAGGTAAAATAATTTGCCGGGCCGGCCAAAGAGAAGTAAAATAATAGCTAAATATCAAAAACTGAAGGAGCCAAAGACAAGTTACCTGAAGAATGACAGCCAAAGGAACCTCTGGTTCATGACCATTTTGTAGCTGAGCAAGTAAAGCATCCTCCGGGGAATTATTAACCAGTTTTTCCTGTCAATGATAAATATCATACACAAAAAAAAACTTACAGCAAACATGCTTTACGAGTTCGATTCGTGCTGAAAGAGATATACTGACCCAAAAACAAGCCTTTGCAATAGGTGACATGACTGCCTCAGCATCAACTAATAGCATTTTGATGTATGCAAGGCCAATTTGCAAGTAAAGCAACTAGGATTTAAGCATTGATCAACAAGATTAAAGTGTTACATATTTCTAGGAAATGCTAACAAAAGGAGTCCACCAACTTAATAAGGTAGAGCTGAGTTTAGTTTGAACTGGAAGCTACTTATCTATGCTTCTACATCTCTATTTTCCTAACATGGATAATTTAAGTTTATCTGACTGTCAGTAAAGGTGCTATATGAAAAGTCTCAGTGAATCATATGGTTATTTTACCATGTTGCTAACAATGCAGGGAGATATGCAGTTAGTATATTCAGCATACTTGTATGAAATAAAGTGAATTACACTTAAGTCGGTTATTCTAACAACAGTGCACCACCGTCATGGAAGATGAGACACCATTAAAAGTCTGAACAAATCCAAACAGAACCAAATCATTCATATAACATGATTGATGAATCCAACAATAGATCTTCCTAAATTATGTTCGACCTAAATATACAATATATGACAAACGTTCAAAATTTTCTAATTTGCATACTTCTCTCCGAAAAAAAGAAAAGAACTTCGGCACTAGTAAGTTACGTTTCCATATTTCCCAATCAGGTTCACCAAAAAGAAAACATCATTTGGCGAGGTTGAAGATGAATATTTCAACTTTGCAACACAATTTGAAAGGCGTGCAGAGAATTTTACTTTGCTAGTTAAGTAATTTTTCTATGGATAACAGAAGCTATGTAACACATTGCATATATCTAACAAAAGCAACAGTAGTACATATTTATGTGTTACTGCAATCAATTCACGAGATGTAGAAACATTTTCATTTCAATCATCACCATTATTGGAGTCTACAATTTTTTCATGTTAGAAATAGAAACTTATACTCATCAACATTCTCTATGACCATTAGTACCAAATGTGCAGGTATATCAGTACAACTTATTATAAACATAAGTCATCCCAATTAATTTTAGAATAGTTAAAACAACTCATCACAAACAGGACATGTTTGATGTTGTTTGCAGAAAAAGAATTAGTTGCAACAGAGTGCGTCAAGATGATACAAATAAAAGGACATAAAATTGGCACTAGATGCTTACCAATTTCACAGGAATGCCTCCACCTCCACATTCAGCAAGCGTGCTAATGATTTTCTCGGAGTGCTTGGTTATGCCAGTCATGGTCTTGCTTGTTCTTGAAATAATTCTTGCATTTTGTGCACTGGAACGTCCTCCCCTTATTCTCAGACATGAATTTGGGGTGGACGCGCTTGTAGTGTGGCTCCATCCCCCCAGCATCCAAGAACCTCTCCTTGTAGACCCCCGATTGCAAAGATTCCATGTAGCATAGGGCACATGGCTTCCTGGCTGGTTTATTGGGCCTCTTCTTGTTGATTGAGGCAGCGATGTCATACTGGCTCTGCAATCCAGCTGCAACTTCATCAGTGCTGCCTTTCTTGCAGTTGAGATTGGACGCCTGGCAGATGTGCCCCCCCTCTTCTGCATCATCACGGTCGCCCAAACCCTCGTCCCCATCTTCCTCGTAGAAACCCTCTTCCTCGTCGGCGTCGGGGACCGCCGCGTACACCGCATCCTGTCCCGCGGCGCCTGCCTCCGCGCCCGCAACAGGAATCGCCGCGAATCCAGGAGGAAAGCCGACGCCCGCCGCGCCGCCTCCGCCCAGCACGGGCCCCGCGAATCCACCGCCCAAGAGCCCGTCTCCACCCTCGCCGTCGTCCGCTGGTGCTCCTCCGCCGCCTCCATTGTCCATATGGTAGGGTAAGCTGAAGCGGAAGCGGAAGCAAGCGCGGGGCGGCGCTACTTGTGCTGATCTTGGGGCGAGGAGCGGTGCGGAAACCGGGATCGGAAACAAGCGCGTCCTTGTGCTGGCCTCGCGCCGGAATCGGGGGGCGAGGAGCGGCGGCGGCGGTGGCGGTGGCGGTGGGCGGTGGCGGTTATCGCGCGCCGGAGACGGGGAAGATTGCCTGAAACGGAAAGGGGCCGTGGGGTTTCTCGGGAAGGAGCGCGCCCGCGTGGTTATGCCGTTTTTACCCTCTCAGGCACGGGCCGGCCCATACTACACTCACCTCGCACCGGCCCACGGCCCGAGAAGTCAGACCCCGCGCCTTCCCGCGCGCGATCGAACCGATGGCTGACGCGTGTCCCCGCGAGCCCAGCGCGACCGCTCCGATCTTTCCACGAGACGTCTCCGAGGCTCGTGTGCGCCGTTTGACCGCTACGTGAGCGTTTGTCAAATACTCTACCCGTCAAAAAAAAAAAAAAACCTCTAATATTGGTTGAGACCTGTACAGATTCGTTGTATTAAAAAAGTCTTATCCAATTCATTATTTTTTTATGAGATGGAGGGAGTAGTTTCCTCTCCCTCGTTGCCAGCTTAGCTCAGTTCGTTAACATTAATGGGTTAAAAGACATGAACTACCCTCATTTATATCATATTAATAATTCTAAATATATTTTTTATCATATATTAATATAATAATAAATACTAACTAATAAGTAATTTACTAAATACAAAGTGATATCTTAAACGAGCAGTTTGCAAGCTAAGCTCGTTAAAAGAGACAAGCTAAAAGGCTATCTCGGCTTGACTTATTGAGAATACGAGTTCGAGCCAATCCAAGTTGAACTCGCCACGAGTCAATCTGAGCCACAGGTCACGAGCTGTTTTTTTCCACCCCTGCCTAGGGCACCTATAATATATGAAAAGGTTGTCCATATAGCTATATATGTGATCACTTAATTATTGTGAGAATGATCCATATAACAATTTTTATTATGAGCTATCCAAATAATATCAAGGCTCTAAGAAATAAATAACAATAACTTTTCAATCCTCTCTTCCCTCATATGATAGCTAATTGAAGGGGACTAGTAGGACCATGCTAATTCCTTCTGTTATTTATGCATTGAGCAACCTTGTCTAATATATAGACCAACCTTGTAATCCAAGAGGGCAAGAGGTATCATATACACTGAGCATACTAGCCAACCAGCGAATTCAGGCCATATGGCCCATTCCAATGCAGTAGTCAAACTCTCTGTGGAAGATTTGTACGGCGTATGTATGATCAAGCAAGTCGGCAATGGTGATTAAATGTCACATCGAGCTTTGACGCCATAGCCGCCAGAATCCTTGGAACTATAAGAGCAGAGCAAGTCAAGCAGTCAAATCAATTGCTCAAGCAAAGAAGCTACTACAGCTTGCTCGGTTCAGTTCAGACACACACAGTGCTCGCCTTGAGCTGCCACCCATTATGGCCGCCGGATTCGTGGACGACGAGGGGCGGCGGCGGAGCGGCAGCGGGAGGGTCACGGCGTTCGTGGCGCTGTCCTGCGCCACGGCGGCGATGGGCGGCGCCATCTACGGCTACGACATCAGCATCGCCGGCGGCGTGTCGTCCATGGAGCCGTTCCTGAGGGACTTCTTCCCGGGCGTGCTCCGGCGGATGGCGGGAGGCGGCGGCGGCGCCGACGGTGGCGCGCCGCGCGTCAGCAACTACTGCAAGTTCGACAGTCAGCTGCTGACGCTCTTCACCTCATCGCTCTACATCTCCGGCCTGCTCACCGCCGTGCTCCTCGCGTCGTGGGTCACGGCCAGCCGCGGCCGCCGCGCGTCCATGATCCTCGGCGGCTTCGCCTACATCGCCGGCGCGGCGGTCAGCGGCGCTGCCGTCAACGTGTCCATGGCCATCCTCGGCAGGGCGCTCCTCGGCGTCGGCCTCGGCTTCACCACCCAGGTCACAGCACTAAAAAATAAATTATTCTCGAATTCTTGATGTGCCATTTGGACAAATCTTGTGCAAAGTTTTTCTAAACTTTGCAAATTCTTGAAACATTTTTGCAGTCTGTGCAACTCTACGTGGCTGAAATGGCACCGGCGCGATACCGGGGAGCATTCAGCAACGGCATCCAGTTCAGCCTGTGTCTCGGAGCTCTCGCCGCCACGACCGTGAACTTCGCCGTGGAGAAGATCAGGGGAGGCTGGGGGTGGAGGCTCTCGCTGGCGCTGGCCGGCGTGCCCGCTGTGTTCCTCACCGTCGGCGCCGTCTTCTTGCCGGAGACGCCGAACAGCCTCGTCCAGCAAGGCAAAGACCGTGACACGGTCAAGGCGTTGCTGCAGAGGATCAGGGGCGTCGACGCCGTCGACGACGAGCTGGACGAGATCGTCGCCGCGAACGCCGCGGCGGCGGCGGCGCACGGCGAGAACGGCCTGTGGCTGATCCTGTCGCGGCGCCGGTACAGGCCGCAGCTCGCCATGGCCGTCCTGATACCGGCGTTCACGCAGCTGACGGGCATCAACGCGATCGGGTTCTACCTGCCGGTGCTGCTGCGCACCGTCGGCATGGGCGAGAGCGCGGCGCTGCTCGCCACGGTGATCCTGGTGGTCGTCTCCTCGGCGTCGACGCTCGCGTCCATGTTCCTCGTCGACCGCTTCGGCAGGAGGGCGCTGCTCCTCGCCGGCGGCGCCCAGATGCTCGTCTCGGAGGCGCTGATCGGCAGCATCATGGCGGCGAAGCTGGGCGACGAAGGCGCGCCGAGCAAGGCGTACGCCACGCTGCTCGTCGTCCTCATCGGCGTCTACTCGACGGGCTTCGGGTGGTCGTGGGGTCCCCTGAGCTGGCTGGTGCCCACCGAGGTCCTGCCGCTGGAGGTCCGGTCGGCGGGGCAGAGCGTGGCGGTGGCGACGTGCTTCGCGCTCACCGTGCTCGTCGCGCAGTGCTTCCTCGCCGCGCTGTGCCGGATGAAGGCGTGGATCTTCTTCTTCTTCGCTGGGTGGATCGCCGCCATGACGGCTTTCGTCTACTTCTTCTTGCCGGAGACGAAGGGGATTCCGATCGAACAGGTTGGGAGCGTGTGGGAGGAGCACTGGTTCTGGAGGAGGATAGTTGGGACTGATGAAATCCATGCAAGTTCCAAGCTGTCAAAATAGATTGATGAATTAAAGATAAATCTGTTATTGGATCCCTTTGAAAGTATAAAGTGGAATTGCCTGTGTTAGAGCAAGTTTAACAGTATAGTCTACTACTAGCTCCAATTCATCTATAGCAATGTAATAACCAATTCATACAATAGTTGCTTGCTATATTATTATATAATGTATGGTCCCACCTGTCATACACACATTGCGTCTTGGAGTTCGTGCTGTAACTAGCTACAGATCTGTAGCCCGCTGCTATTCTCTCTCATATTTTATCTTATTAAAATATGTTTATAGCTGGCTAATTGCTTGTATCTGCTCTTAGAACATTAGCTTAGGCTTTAGGGTTTAACTTATCGGTGCATGCAACTCAATATTTCCAGCGAGGGGATTTTCTTAATATAGATTTATGAATTAAAACTTTGTTACATGTTCCTAAGTTTCTCTTGATGATGGAATCTTTGCATCGAGATGTATCAGTCCATGTTCCTAGAAGCATCCGATGAAGCTCATATTCTTTAGATGATTCAGCACCGTTTGTTCACTACTGGACAACCGTTCTTTTATCCCAAAATACAAATATCTCGATTAGATTTAGAACCGATACTAAAGATATTTTTAGTATCGGTTCTAAAAGTCCAAGTCGCAAAAACATCTTTAGTTTCGGTTGATGTCACCAACAATCTTTAGTATTGGTTGGTAACACCAATCCGGACTAAAACTATTTTTAGTATCGATTGGTATGTCTCAAAGGTTAGTTAAAAAAACAAAGCAGCTCCATCTAAGTCAGATGTGTGTGGTAGATAGAATGGTAACATGCGTGAGGGCTGAGGTGATAGATCTTGAGTTTAAATCTCACATCTCACATATTATTTTTGATTTAGAATGAATCTTAATTTAGCACCGGTTGATGCTTGTAGCTTTACATTTCGTATAAATCCTCTGCGTCTGTCTCTTTTGGTGGCACCCCATGAGGTGCAAAACTTGTTATTTCTCTTATCTTTGATGAAATTGGCAGAGCTTCCTGTCTTTCCCCTCGAAAAAAATTTGTCGATCATAATCTTTTTCAGTTACCACAGTACAAGAAACTATATAGCACCAAGGTCTGTTGAAACAAACCAGGGTTCATCTAAATCTCAACCAATTGTCCATCTACATGAGAAAATGTTACATATCGACAGAGATTATTACACTAGCTATCTTCCATTATCTTAAAACATAAAAATAATCGAGTGGTGTATAGTAATGGAGTCATTTTGAGTGTGCCTATTTTTGTGAGGGGTGTTGTTGTCATTTTTTAGTTTTGTCAAGGGGGCACATTCTCATACGTTGATACGTATGCGTGCATAGTGGTCACTCACGTATCATTTTCTGTAGAATTGGAAAAATAAAATGAACACTAGTACCGTACTCGGCAATGCTACATGCCTATATATGATAAGCTGCCAATTATTAGTGCACCTTGAGTCAATCATGCCGTGGAAAAAACGTACTACAGTCTACAGTATGAGACGGCCCATAGCAAAATTCTTCGGGCTGCCAAGCAAGGGCACATCAAGCTTTGACAGTTTGGACATTTATAGTGTTTGGTTCGACTAATAGAATTAGCGAAGCAATGAAACTTTTTCGTTTCACATAGTTGCAACGTTAAAATCGTTTCGTGGGATCCGCGAAGAAGAATCAACCAATCTTCTTCTTGCATGCATGCATAACAAATACTTTATCCATATTTTAATATATGACACCGTTGACTTTTTAACAAACGTATGACCTTTTGTCTTATTCAAAAAAATTTATGTAATTATCATTTATTTTATTGTGACTTTGATTTATCATCAAATGTTCTTTAAACGTGACATAAGTATTTTTGTATTTGCATAAAAAATTTAAATAAGACGAATGGTCAAACGTTGTTAAAAAGTCAACGGCGTCATATTTACGGAGGGAGTATTTTTTTACTCCTTCCGTTCGACTGAGTTCTATTTATTCTATGAAACTGACAAATATGATTCAATAGATATAACGTGCACGGTTCGCTTCTTCGGTAGGAAATCGATTTTGCGATCATATGCTCAAAGAACCGAAGAACAACGTTGATAAGAACCGAAGAACAAACCAGGGCATCAGTCAACACAAAAAACTGTCACGAAAGCTCACCTTGATCCACACGACCCATTTAGATGGTAGACGGATCATTACTGATCGCGTGTGCGAAAATCATCCTCCATTTTTGTGTAACCACACGCAAAAATCAATTTTCGCAGACATGCTTTTTAACATGCTCGTACGGAAAAATACTCAATTTTCACAGGTAGGCCTCCTAATCGATCCACACAGAAAAATACCCATTCCCTTCCAACTTGTTCGAAAAAATTCAAGTTTCCCTTCTCTCTTCCCCTTATCTTCTCCTCACTTTCCTCTCCTCCTCTCGATGTTCTCCTCACTTCAGCTGAGCTAGCACCGCGCGGCCGCGTCGAGCTCGCACCCCGCGGGCCATGGCGCCGGCGCCGCCTCTTTCTCCTTCTCCTCCGGCTCTGGTCTCTTCGCCTCCGTCGGATCCGGTGACAGCGGGCGGGAGCGGCGGGCTTGGCAGCGTGCGCGCGGCGGCGGGCGGGAGCGGCGGACGGCTGCCCCCCGCACGGATTCAGCGGAGCTGGCGGTCCCCTGCCCGGATCTAACGGCGGAGGCCGTCTCCCACCCGGATCCAGCGGCAGTGGCGGCCGCCGCGGTGGTGGCAGCGGGCGGGCGGACTCGGACGGTGGGGAAGTGGCGGATCCGGCTACTGCGACGGTGACTGCGACCACGAAAAGGCCGCCGGCGGCGGCTTTAGGGTTAGGGTTTTGTTTTTTTAGATTTTATTTTTTTCGGCTTTTTATTTTTGCATGCGGACGATATAACCATCCCACACGCGAAAATCAGATGCGGGTGTGCCACCGTACACAAAAGTAGTGATTTTTGCAGACACTTCGTTACAGACGGTTGAAATATCCATATGCAAAAATCGTTTTCGACCGCACGAAAAAATTGTTAGTGTACTAGTGCCAGGCTGCCAGCTGCCTTTGTTCCTTAGAAACACCGCCCTTAATTAAGCAAACAAACAACAAAAAAAAAGAGTTACAGACGTTCTTGGACAGAGCTAACGACCACATACGCCGGCCTAAATTATTACTCCGTATTCTATTGTTAACGCCGTTGATTTTTAATGTAAGTTTAATATTTCGTTTTTATTAAGAAAAATCTAATTGTTATTTATTTTGTTATGATTTTTTTATTACAAGTGCTTTAAATATAACTTATATCTTTTATATTTACAGAACAATTTAAAATAAGATGTATGATCAAACACAAGAAAAAATTAATGGCATCAAACATAAAATAAATGGAGTTACTACAAGTTAAACTCCCTCGCCAAGTTATAAGCATCACTACTAAATCAGTAACAGTTTGAGAACCTACTGCCCTTACTTTGATCTCTCAGATAATATAGACATATGGCCATATGGGCTTGTTTGTGATTCAAGGTTACGATTCAAACTGGACGTCGAGATGAAGGTCCAATAGTGAACATATTCCATATGTGAAATGTTTCTGGCCCATAAAAGCCCATACAGCCAGCATCCGAGTAATGTAATTGGTCTTGGGCCCCCACGTGACTCGTTGCGCCCTAGTCGACCATCTCGCTTCCCCCTTCCCCGCCTCCTCTCGAGTTCACCTGCCACCCGCCCGCCGCCGCCGCCGCCGCCGCCGCCGAGCAGCTACTGGTGCCGGCCGCCGTCCTCCTGCTTCCGCCGCCGGTGAGCTTCCGCACGCACGCACGCACATCCTCTTCCTCATCTCTCTCTCTCTCTCTCTCTCTCTGCCTTAACAAAATTTGGGGTTCAACTGACGGATTCTTCAACTGACTGATCCCCATCCCGCTCCTTGCTAGGGATTTCAGATGGAGAACCGAGATCAGGAGGAGCCCGGCAGCGGCAGCGGCAGCGGAAGCGTGATGTGCCAGCTCGTCAATCCCGAGGGAGACCACCTCGGCGCCGCCCTCTACCTGCCGCAGAACGTCGGCCCGCCGCAGCTTCAGGAGATCGTCAACCATCTTCTCCACAACGTATGCACGCTTGCGTTTTTTACACTGCTATTGTTACCATGCCGGCCGGAGGGCTAGCTCCCTTGGTTTAGCGACAATTTTAAAATTCATATTCATATCGGATTTGGGGAACCACTTGTCACATCGATTTATTTGTTGAGAAAACATTGTGAAACCACCTAACTAGAGTACTAGGCAACATCACAAGCTGTCTGGAGTTGTTTCCCTTAATTCTGTGATTTTTTTTGCATAATTCATTGGCGGGAGATGAAATTAATGCCTTTACAACAAGGACAAGTCTACTTTTAAGCTTTCACATAAAAAGAAAAAAAAATCTGAATGGATGTATCATGGGAAATTTATGTTCAGCTATGTAATGTACTACTTGTGTGACCTCATTACTTTAAACATTTACTTTAGGAGGACAAGTTGCCCTATGCATTCTACATCGGAGATGAAGAGCTATCTGTCCAGCTTGGTGCTTACATGCAGCAAAAAAATGGTGGGACTCCAATCTGAAGTTCATCTATACTTTTTTTTCATTGGGGAAGAAAAATAATATACGCTAGGTGTGGTGTATCATTTCTGATTTGTATATTTTGGTTTAATGAATGAAGCAAATGTTGAGGTCACCCTGCGCATAGTATATCAACCACAAGCAGTTTTCCGCATCAGGCCAGTCAACCGATGCTCTGCTACAATTGCTGGTAAGTCGGATTATGTTCATTACACTTGTTTTCTTTTCTATTACAATTTTATGACTCTTTGTTTGGTAATTTCTCATAGAACTGTAATTATCATGGGAATATCATCGGACAGAAATCTTTGCATTTGTTTTATCTGTTGTAGATGCCACTGTATGTATCCATGGTTCACAATACTAGTTTGTACAGGCCTATTATTCAATAGTAATGAATGTAGTTTTATGTAGATACTTTTTTTGTGTGTTTGGGGTGGGGAGGAGGTAGAAGAGTCTAGAGCAGGCATATTAAGATGCTTTTGGACATGTTTATCCTAGGTGATCATCAAATGTTTACCATATGCATGAAAAATCAAAACTACTTATTTATTTTGTGCTTAGATTACACTGCTGTGAAATGATTTGATTATCTTATCCATCTGCAGGCCATACAGAAGCCGTATTAGCTGTCTCTTTCAGCCCTGATGGAAGATGTTTGGCTAGTGGTTCAGGTGACACCACTGTTCGGTTTTGGGATCTGAACACGCAGACCCCATTGTTCACATGCAAAGGTGGTTCTTTGAATTCTTGCATATTGGTATTGGTAATTTGCAGTCATGTTTCTCATGTCTTAAACAACTGTAACATTTACAATGCATTGATGCTGGTTTTTATGCTTATGGCATGGCTATTCTTCTTGATGATAACTAAGTGCTTACCAACATTTGTGATTTACCATGAGAGATATCAAGCTGGTCAAACTCACAATAAACATGTAAATTATTTTTAGCATTAATTAATCTTCATAGTCAGTGTTTAATGTTGTAGTAATTCATTGTTGTTCCTTTTAGATTAGTTCTGTTGGGCAAAGCTGTGAGTTAGTAGCCCTGGAACTTTAAAATACAGAATAATTTATTTCTTGTTAATAACACATCACATAAACCGATTTTTGGTCAATATCCGATAGTTCCTTTTGCATACTTTGTATCCAATATCTTCTACCATTAGTATTTGAAAGTTAGTTGTTGCATACTTTGCATCTTCCAGGCCACAAAAACTGGGTGCTCTGCATTGCATGGTCACCTGATGGGAACCATCTTGTTAGTGGAAGCAAGTCAGGGGAGCTTATATTATGGGACCCAAAAACAGGCAAACAATTGGGCACTCCACTTACGGTGAGATCATGAAATCCTTTTCAGTTAAGTACTTAAGTGGTAACCTGTAGGCTGTGTAGAAATATGAATTAAAAATTTATGCTAGCTATTGATCTGCATATTTCCAGATCTCACTGCCCTATGTGTGAATTTATGTGTATGTGGAAAATTAGTTTGTTGAAAAGAACTGCTGCGATGTTTTTTCTTGGTATGATAGATTCACATGCACATAGTTTTGGACAGAATATATGGACACTGTACTTAGATATTGTGGATGTTTCATTTTTTCGTGCCATCCAGTACTCATTTGTTGTGGACTTATACAAATTAGGGGCATAGAAAATGGATTACTGCTGTATCTTGGGAGCCAGTTCATTTGCAAGCTCCCTGCCGCCGTTTTGTAAGTGCAAGTAAGGATGGTGACGCACGTATTTGGGATATTACCACAAGGAAGTGCGTTATTGCCCTTACAGGTCACACTAATTCGGTGACCTGTGTCAAGTGGGGTGGAGACGGTTTGATTTACACTGGGTAAGACTATTGTATACATAGGTCGTCCTTTCTTCCTTTTTAGACAAAGGATCACGGCTTTGTCCTTTATCTTTTATATGAATTATTAGTTTACTAGCTTCAGAATATGAATTGGTTTGCTAAAACAGGTATGCCAATAAATGCAGTAATGCCATCTGTATTCAGGATTCTACCATGTACCAGTGTTGTCATACACATTAACATATTTTATAGTAAAATCGATATATTGACTTTGCAGATATATGATGTAAAACCTCTGTGTTTGTCAACTCTGCTACCTTTTGACAGATTAATTTATTGAGGCCACAAATGACTCAAAACAATTTTTTTATTTGTCATGGTAAATTCTGAATATGATAGGATAACGAACATATTTAATCTGTATTTTGAATGGAAATCAATATGCATACCAGTGCTTACTGTTTCTACTTTGGCAATCGTGAGCAAGAAACTACAAATATAGCTCTTAGCAACCCAGGCTACAACCCTCTCTTGGTGCCTCAGTATTCCCTGCATTTACCAAAATTTATTAAATCTATTTATAGTGAAATATCCAATACTTGATTTTTTTTAACACCATAATTTGGCTTCTGATGGTAGGCATAGACCTTTATCTGGCTAAGGCTTCCAGTTATTTTCTTTTTCCTCATGCACCCATTGCTATTTTGTTCACTCCTAATAGACAGCATAACTTTATGCAAAAATGGTTGAATTCTGCACTGTAGTTGGTTAATCTAAGTTCTTATTTTAACATTTACCATGAGTGTTTGTAGTAATGCCACACATGAATACATGATACTTGATGGTTGATGGCGCTATACGATTATCTGTACAAAGAGCTGTTTTTGAGAAGTACACTTTTAGAAACAATGATAGATGGATAAAATTCTAAAACCAATGTATGTGTACTGCAGTTCTGAAGATTGCTTAATCAAAGTCTGGGAAACTTCTCAGGGAAAGTTGGTCAAAACACTGCAGGTAATGTACCAGCATTTTCACTGGGCATTCTAAAGTTTATGGAAATGTTTATGCTCCCATGAGTCAGTGTCCACATTGTTATACAGATGTACTGGATCTGGAGATGAATTTCAATTCAAAACATTTGGTCCTGCTGAACTGTCAAGTTTGCATGGATCTGTAGTGAAACCATGTAGGAGGCTGATGTTAGCACACCATATTCTAATTTTCCTTCATCCTGACCGACAGAATAAGCTCATGTGAATGCATATTCTTTATGAACACCCAATCTGACTATTCATGTTTATTTCCTTCTGAAAATACTTCGATGGCTAAAATAATTCGGTCATTTAAGATACAGGTAGGCTATGAAAGGCCATATTTGCTTGGTTTGGGCTCAAAGACCAAGGAACAATTCATATTTACTAGGATGCCCATATACGAAATGCTAAGCCAAACCCTCCTGATACTAATTGCACCAGGCGCATGCTGACAGCCTGTGTGCAATAGCTAGCTGATACTGGTTGCTTTGTGAATAGAAAAATTCATTGCCAAATAGTTGAAGGTTTACTCTAAATGGGGGTTGGGGGTATGAAAATTTATTTTGGACAATATGTGCTTCCCACAATGATCAAACTAACCCCTCCATTTTTTTAATATTTTTAAGTTTTAACCAACGTCTTACAAAAGAAAATGGAGGAAGTAATATTGTATTCTTGAATTCATGAATCAAGTACCAAATACCAAGTATCCTTTCAATTGTGAATCATCAGTCGTATCCAAGAAACGATTTTGTGGATTATTTTTAATATTATTTTGTTGCTATTTTTGCACATTTACTGGACTTAATATTTTTGTAGCAGTGAATTATTTCCATACTTTCAAGTCAGCTATTCTATGCTAGTTGTCAGTGTCTGTCATCTTTTTAAAGTAGTTACTACACATATGCAGGGTCATGGGCACTGGGTCAATTCACTTGCTTTGAGCACCGAGTATATTTTGCGCACTGGGGCTTATGACCATACTGGCAAAACATATTCAACTGCAGATGAAATGAAGGAGGTATGATGCAATCATAAATCAGTGCTAAAACTGTTTTTGTTGTTTCCATTTGTCGCTTGCTGAAATGATTTTTGTGACTTGAGAATTTTGAATATTCAGGCAGCCCTTGCAAGATACAAGAAGATGAGGGGCAATGCGCCTGAGAGACTAGTATCAGGTTCTGATGATTTTACTATGTTTCTCTGGGAACCAACAATTAGTAAACAGCCCAAAGCTCGCATGACTGGTCATCAAAAGGTATGTTGTCTTGACAGCTCCAGCAAATTTTCTTGCATTTGTACATTTCAACTTGTGCCGTTTCTTGCTCTCAGTTCTGCCCCATTGAATACTGAGAACAGATTGGGAATCCTCTGAGTTCCCTCCCCCAAACTTTACAATAATAATGAATCAGTGTCATTGAATTAATGGTCTGAAAGCGTCCAAACCCATCTAGAGATCAGATTATTGTTATAATCATTAGAACTTTTCTAAGTTGTCAAATGGCTCGAACAAGTTGACATAAACCAACTGATATTATGGCTTTGTTTTATTAAGCCAGGTTAAATTCTTTATCTATACCTGTGCTTATAAATGATTTTGTCATTTGCTTTGCTTTGTGCAGCTCGTAAACCATGTCTACTTCTCTCCTGATGGGCAGTGGTTGGCCAGTGCCTCCTTTGACAAATCTGTCAAGTTATGGAACGGTATTACAGGCAAATTCGTTGCAGCTTTCAGAGGACATGTTGCAGATGTCTACCAGATCAGGTAGGGTTTCCATCTTCCTAGTGTTCCATTAATACATGCTGTGATGCCTAATATCATTATTTCTTTGTTCAGCTGGTCTGCCGACAGTAGGCTTCTACTCAGTGGAAGCAAGGATTCCACCCTAAAGGTATATATTTGTCTCCATTTGGTTCTGGCATACAAAATCCTGTCTTTTATGTGGCGAGCACCAACAATCCATTCAGTTTGTATGTTGCCTTTGAGGAGTTACTGTGATGCTTCAATAATCATCCCAAAAACTGGTGAATCCAACATGAAAATTTGCTGAAACTGCTACTGAGATGTCATAATTGTTTCTAATTTTATGCATACTGGATTATAAACTCAAATTACTTGTATAGCATGGACCTTGATAGCACAAACTGACCGATACACTTATCTTTTTTTATGAGGCTCTATCTCCCCGTGAATATCTAACTGCTGAGCGCTGACGCTCTCTGTTTGTATAATTCAGGTTTGGGATATTCGAACACACAAGTTGAAACAGGACTTGCCAGGCCACGCAGATGAGGTACGCATGTATTTTCCTTTTGTTGTCTAGTAAGTCCATTTTGTTCCAGACTAACTGCGCGGGTAAGTCTAGAACAATCAGCATGATATTCACATTTGTATGTAACATCTGTAAGGTGTATGCTGTGGATTGGAGCCCTGACGGTGAGAAGGTTGCATCTGGTGGGAAAGACAGGGTCCTCAAGCTTTGGATGAACTAGGGCCGGCTGATTCTTCTGACCACCCGTTAAGCTTGTTCTCATGGTGGCACTAAACATTGAACTCATCAATCGGTCACAAAGTCGGAAGCTGGGAGTAGATCATGGCGGTTAACTTGCAAGGTTGTTCAAGAGGAGATTGATTACCTAGGAAGGACATACATTCAAACCATACTCCATGAAGTCAACATGCAATTCCCAATTTGTTGGAGCAATCACAACCGATTTCAGTTCAATGATTTGAAGGGATGTGAGCGCCATGGAAATGCAAGTTCTTCCCATGGCTGGCCACCCAAAATAGGATTTACTTACATCGGTCAGGCTAGCTGTTAGAGACTTTTTAGAGGCCATATCACCGAACATGCAAAGGAAAACCACCATGATCAGCAAACAGTTGTTCCTGTCCTCACATCCTGCAGTCTGCAGATAGTCTGGGTTTGGGCATATGTAATCATAGGATGAGTCTCCTTTGCTGTATTGCGATCTGACACGGGTCACTGACATATGGGCCCATTGGTTTTGGGGATATATGTCAGCCACTGAAAGTTAGAGGATCTGATTCCATAATCATATGATCGGTGTATGGTATAACTAAACGACAGACGGTTAGTCACACAGTAGCATCCACGTAGTGTTTGTTAGTCGCAGGAAAGTAGCAAAGGCAACAATGTCTCTAGTAATCATAGGTTTTCAAGCACATGGAGATGACCTGAACTCTATCACTAATTAATTTTCAAAAAATTGAAGAATGCGTAAAGAAGTCTAGTTCCAAATTTCCAATGCCCAGTTACACTACATAAAAGTAACAGGGAAAAATTTAAAAGCAGTAAAGATTAAAAAAAATATAAATAATCGCGCCAGGTAGGGGTCGAACCTACGGCCTTCTGCTTAGGAAACAGACGCTCTATCCACTGAGCTACAGGCGCTTATATTGTTAATAAGCTACCTTGACAAATTATTCAAAGTTACATATCCAAACCGCTGAGGATGGCTGAATTGATGAAGCCCGTGAAATTTCAAGCTAGAGAAAGCACATTCAGTAGTAGATCCATTTGAAAACTATATATCAATGATAGTATTTTTATATTTTCTTTAATAATGTAAATAGTTTAGATCTTCAGGTTCCGCTGTTAGGCACACAGCTAGTGAGTTTTGGTATCTAAAGTAAAGAGATATATGGTGATGGGATAAACCCCTAACTCACTTTAGAAAAGGTTCAATTGAAAAAACATTCCAATATCACATAGATTGTAGCACGTTATCAGGTATGTACTACACCATCCAAAACGTAATAAAAGACCCTTCACAATTGATTCTAAGAGTACAATTACATTGCGTATATAGTATTCTATTCTTCGTGTGATAAGATCAAGAGTAGAGTCAACTAGAACACATAAAGATAACTTTGTATTATATTATATCACTTTTAATTATTAAAAGCCATATCATTACGACAAGGGTTAATCGACAATGCCAAATTCAATGGGATTCTTTCTTTCCTTTGTTTTTTTGGGAGGATTTTAAGTGCAATCAAATCACAAATCAATATAAATAATTTGTGAGAAAAAAATAGTTTATAATTTATTAATAAAGTGCATACGAGGAGAAGGATGGATGGGGGAGGATGTAACCAAAATGTTCAGTTCATAAATGACACTTCACATGACACATCAATGTTTGGTGTTTAGTACTATAGAGTTGTTACCCCAGATGACAACATCCTTGGTAAAAGTTGAGTTTAAGAGTTCAGATAGAATGACGATTGTTATAGAGGATAATTTTATTATCCTAAGATGCTAAGAAATACCATATTTTCTAGTATACAATTTGGTATCAAATATTATTAAAATGTAAAATTTTGGTTCCGAAAGATTTTATCGAGAACTGTAAAATCTCTCTAATTACAGTATTCCATTAATTGTCAGGTTTAAAATCTCTCGCTATAGCTGTTTAAGAAGGGTTCTAGCTATTTTGCATACAATTTAGCCACTATATATAGCTTTATTTAGCCTGTTATAACTACCACTATAGCTATATGAGAAGCTAACCGCTAAATGTCTTAGCTCGCTATTTAAAACATTGTTAATTATACAGAGTTCGGTCTACAGGCTCAAGTACAGAAAAGCAACAAGCTATCAAAACTTCAAAAGCATCTACATATTCAGTAATTTGCATTCTCAACTGACCCATAATACAATGATAAATATTTAGGATTAGTATCAGTTAAGCATTGGACAATGCCATTAACAAGCGAGAACAATATAGAATTATCAGTCCTAATAAAGAGAAGGCGTAATCCAAATCGGAGAAGGAGAATACAGCCACGGGTGATGAAGCGGCCACACGTCACCAAGCCTCTGCAGCCTCCCGCTCCCGAAGTCCCAGACGCCGAAGTCCCGCCTCGCCGCCGGCGACCGGACCACGTCGCCGCCGGCGTCGTCGGTCAGGTACGCGCAGTTCGGCCTTAGCATGGGGAAGCCCTCGGTCGGGATGCACGCCGCGGAGCTCTTCCCGAGGAAGAGCGCCACGTCGCCGCAGCCGCCGAGCCCCGCCACGCTGATCGCCGTCGCCGTCGACGCCGCCGTGGCGAGCGGCGGCGGCGGCGGCGTGCGGATCTCCTCGACCTCGACGCCCGTCGTGGCGACGGCGTGCTCCACGTGCCACCTGCCGTTGGAGGCGTCCGGCGGAGCGACGATCGCCGTCTGGTGCCACCGCCGCGTCACGCGCAGGAGCTCGCCGCGCGGCGTGACGGCGAGGTACTGTGTGGGTTTGGGACCAGAGGAGTACTGATGCGGCGACGGCGAGCTCAGGACGGTTCGCGCTACCGGAGACGGAGACGACGACGACGCCGCGCCGCCGCCGGTGAGGTCTAGGGAGAAGATGGAGCCGCAGTGGCGCAGCAGGTAGAAGAGCCCGTTCTTGTGGTTGTGGACGATGCTGGTCCAGTACTGGCGGTGATGGAGCTCCCCCATGGCGAGGATCGAGCCCCAGTCGCCCACCATGGCCATGTTGGGTGCCCTGGCGAACGAGAGCTCCGCGACGCCGGAGAGCGAGGTCCAGCGCGCGTCGCCCGGCCTGGCGAAGGAGAGCTCCGAGAACGGCATGTGCACGAGCAGGACGACGCACCCGGCGGCGGCGGAAGGGCTGCCGGAGACGGCGACACGGCGGAACATCCAGTCGCGCGCTCGCTCCGCGGTGATGTGCCGTATATTCTCCCCGACGGTCGGGGAGACATCGACGCCGTACACGACGCCGCCGCCGCCGCCGACGACGAGGGTCTCGCGGCTCCTCACGCGGTCGAGGGTCGTGATCGGCGGCAGCGTGGCCCGGGCGCCGGTGACGGGGTTGACGAGGTACGGGTTGGCCTCGTCGTCGGTGGCGAACAGCCACCCGTGCGCCGCGCCCGCGACGGCGCGCGGGATGCGGAAGGGCACGCAGAAGGTGGCGGCCGTCGAGGGGGAGTAGAGCGCGGCGGCGTCGGGGCCGTAGGCGTCGCAGGCGTAGAGCAGGCACGGCGGCTGCCGCGGCGTCGAGAGGCGGAGGCGGCGGAAGGCCGCGGCGGCAGCGCGCCACGCGGAGCACGCGGCTCCAGAGCGGACGACGTCGGGGACCTCCATGAACCCCATCACGGTCAGCAGGACGTCCTCCGGCAACCACGACCAGCAGCAACGATCTCCGCCGGCTTCGGCTTCTTCTTCCATATTCTCATTGGCCGGAGGAGACGGCTGCTTGTTCGTCGAGGCGGCTGCTCCCATCTCGGCGACGGCGGCGGCGGCGGCGGCGGCGCGCGAGAGCGAATCCAACGAACGAAGGGATCGACTCCAATGCAACAGTTATACAAACGGGAGTGTCGTGGCGTCGTGGGACTTCGCCACGTGGGCATATCCGTACGGCGCACGGCCAAAAGCCGGATACACCTCACATCGCAGGTCGGACAGCCCATCGAATCCTCTGGGCCCAATTCGGCCCACGTAGATCGTTCGGCCCAATTCCAAGTTGCTTCCTATACGGCCCGGCAAGTCAACATGGTAGACTACCGAACACAAGCAGAATGGAGTGTTGGGCGATGATATTCAGTTATTTTTTTTTCGCGAATGCGCAGAAGAATTACACGTCAATATATTAGAAGAATAGAGTTTTGATACACGACGCACTCAGCCAGACTAGCCTATGCCAAAAGAATTACATGTCAATATATTAGAAGAATAGAGTTTTGATACACGACGCACTCAGCCAGACCAGCCTATGCCAAGGAAGAAAGAAAACAAAGATAAAAAACAAAGAAAGGAAAGGAGTTAGCCGGAGCTGATGAATGTAGCATCATCGCTATATTCCACCAATATTAGTTCAGTTTTCTATTACTTTTGCGAAGAAAATATAGTTCAGTTAACCCACGACATGATGCAGATACAGGCATATAGCGATATTATTTTTGTCCTGCTTATCCCACTTCTAGTTTATTTTTTCTTCTAAATTTTGTATTACCATGTAAAAATAAACTAGCAAGCGGGTTTTTATACGAATAGTGGGACTACCCACTTGCACTGGAAGATCGTCAGTAAATTGTGCACCGGATCATGCAATTGGATTGCAGAGGAAGGAAGAAAGAGGGATTACCTGTGGCATTGTTCACCAGACAAATTAGCAGGAGGTCTAAGTTACTGAAAAACTAAGTCTAGATAACCGGTCAAACATTGATCAACACAAATTCACAGTGGAAATGGCTGCCGCAACAGCAGCCAGTTGTCATCGGCCTCAAGAAAGAAGAGTTAAACTTGAAATCCGGATAAGAGCTCATCCTAGAAGTCAGGAAAGCAGTATAGTTTCCACAACTCAAATATAACCAAAGAGCATAAAGTAAATTCAGGTTGGGACACTACAAAGATAATTTTATGCAAATCCTTTTCACAGCTTGTAAGTAAGAATTCAGATGCCGATTTTCCATCCAGGTTTTCAACAGGCACTGAAAAGGAACCTGGTTGTCTACTGGAACTTTTTACAACGGCTAGTAGCAGATTGGAACAAGAAAATTTCAACATTGTAATGATCAATATAGCTTCATCATGAACACATCAACAAAAGGAGTATCATTCAAAGTATACGTTCCAATGACAACAACTGATATATCTACAGATTACAAGTAACATCAGAGCATGCAAGTCTCAAGAATTTCATCTGTCAGAAAAGGTGTGCAGTTCATTCAGGAGGTTATACTATTTGCAGTATTATTCATCCAGAAACAACAGAAGCTTCTGCTGATTTACAATCTCATTTCCCAGACATGGAGACACCATCATGATCCACAGAATCAAAATGATTCACAAAGCCAACAACAATTGCATCTTCGGTGCTGCGATTTATTGAGTAGGACAGAACCACATTGGGAACCCCAAGTAATTGCTCATTGGTCCTGTCCCAATCAAGAATGGACTGATTGTTCCATCTCTCATGTTGTAAACCTGGGAACAATATGAATAGCTGTCTGACTTCTTAGGGTTGAACTTAGGGCAGAGGCTATCAAGAAAATAGATGCGGTCATCTTCAATCTCCTCATACTGAGAGGCGGCAAAGGACTTGTTGCAGGATGAGCTGATGAAAATGCTCTCGCCATCCAAGCTCTTCTTTTCTATCCATTTCCAAGGGTTTGAGTTGAAGCTCAATTCGAATACTCTGACTCCAACAAATTGGTCCCAGCTCTCTCTGAAGTATCTGACAAGTAGCAACAGCTTCCCAAGAGACTGCACAAGATTGTAAGTTTGCCGGTCACCATCTTCAGCTGAGGGCAGCTTCTCAATCAGACAGCGCTCGACGAGAGATACCACCGGAAAGACGTGATCATGTGCCTCAAGCTCAAAGGCAAAGAGATCTCCATTGCGGGTGTCGACCATGTAGAGCTTCCCCAGATAGAACTCAATGTCAATGTGACTCTTGATGCAGTTGCCCTCACATATGCACCAAGATGGCGTTTCTGGAGTGCAGAAGGCAAGCTTGTATTCTCCCTTTCTCTGAGAGACCGCAGCGACAATGCAACTGGAGCCGAGGTCTAGCTCAGAGGAAGAGCTCGAGCTCGAGCCAGCGTTGGGCGGCGCGGACAGAACTGCCTTGTAGAGAGCCATTGCGTATTCATCGGCATGGATGGTGCACACCACCTCGCCATCGCCATTGCTGACAGGCACAGACCTCTGAATGGCGCCACATGAATGGGTGGCCGTCGGGCTCGGCAGCGACACCTTCTCCCCGGAGAAAGGGTTCACCAAGACGCAGCCACCATCGGCGCCCACGGTGGGGTACAGCGGGATGCTCAGGCGGAGCCAGGTGCAGACGAGCCAGTCCTCGAAGCAGCCGATGCACTGTCCCGGGAAGGCGCCGTCGAGCAGCGCGGCGAGAAGCGGGACACGGTGGCCGGCGGCCGCGGCGCCGTCGGAGAACACGCTGGCGAGCGCGAAGTTTGGGTACAGGACCAGAGGGAGCGGCGGCGCCAGCACCAGGGGCGGGTAGTCCCGCGCGCCCGCGCGCCACGAGCGGCGGAACACGGAGCGGAGCGCGGCGCGGTCCGCCGAGGAGTGGAGCCTGCGGAGCACGGCGCCGACGATCCCCAGCGGTAGGTCCAACGACGACGGCGGCCCTGCGAACGAAGAACGAACTCGTCAGAGGCATTCCACCGAACACCTTAGCAACGACAAACAAAACCCCCCCAAATCAATCCCAAAACCACCGCGTGGTTCACACGAGGAGATCACCTGAGACGGCGCCCGTGCCGGTGCCGGTAGCCATCGCCGTGATCCGGGAAGACGCGCGAGCTCTACCTACGGCCCCCCTGATCCTGAACCTTCCAGAAGCTTCTAGAACAGAGTCGGGGAAATTGGTGAGGGGGAGGAGGGAGAGGGGTGGGGTGAAATCACTGGAAACTTCGAGAAGTTTTGAGAACCCGATCGAGCCGATTAGACGAAGGATTCCCCAATTTATATAGCTCTCCCTACCGTTAAACCACCCGCGTAGTTGCTTGAATTCTCGTCGCTGTCACTTACATCCTGGCCCCACAGAGTGACGATGCTGACGTAAGGCCCTCGTACAATACTGCTCCTGCTCACGGTCGGGCCCACAAGTCAGTGACCCAGGCGGACTTCAAATGGTTGGCTTCCCGCGCCATTCTCTTCTTCCGACTTGATATGATATGGTAGTTTCTTATGAAATTTGGAGAACATCTCAGTCTCCAGTCTTTGGTTGTACCCTCTAAAAAAAGATAGACCAAACACCAAAAAATTACTGCACACAAATTCTCCTTTTTCTATGAATAATACAAATTGTGTTCACTCATGGATTGAAATTTCAGTTCGAAATTTCCGAAATTTTGGACCTCCCTCCACTAGCAACTATCTCGGCCAATTTTTTTCTTATTTTTCTAAATATGTGTAAATTTGGTCAGAATTTATAAACTCAGTTAAAATTTTAAATAATTTCGTGCTAAAATGGTTCCAGCATTCATGAAGAAAAAATGTGAACCCTGTGTTCGCTCAACAGAAGAAAAAATCTAGAACGTTTGGGATCTTGCAAATGCACATAACTAATAGCTTAAGCGATCAGACAATTGGATAGAATTATCATAGGCTCACAGCATTTTTTTTCCTGAATAAAGGATTACTGTGCTTTTACTGAAAACAGAGTGTAAATATAAGCCATCTCAGAGCACATCAATCTTTATCATATAATCACTGGTTGTTAACTTGTAACATTGCCAACAACAGAGTTTGTGACAGAAACAGATTATTCATCAACACATTTCTATAGTTGCATGCAGACAATGAATAAAAGAAACACTGCATAATTGGATATGCCTGATTGCGTCAGCGAAACCACTGAATGACAATATTGTAACTTGGAAAAAAACAATAATCATTGCGTAATGTAACACCGACACATTTCAAGATCAAAGTGAGCAGAAAGGCAACACAATTAGCACGGTTAAATCGAGACATCAGAAAGCAAAAAGGCACAATCTGATAGACAAGTGAAATGATATTTTGAAACAATGGTTTATTCATAAGGAGGAATCATATGCCAGCACCCCAGATTGTCCAGTCCTCTAGTGCCACAAAGTTTTTACTCTCATGATTCAGCAATGAATGGCACGCGGAAGAACTGTCGCTACATATGAGCACAGTAGATATATTCATCCACAATGAAGATAATATCCTCACCTTCATCACGCTGTTTAGAATTGAAGGACTTAGTAACCAGAAAATTGTAACAAGAAGGGAAAAGAATTGATATCGTATTTCATACTTTCATAGTGACAGCATAATGTTCTATCATATTAGACACCCTCTTGAAAATTTGTCATGGTATTCATACGTCTAGGAACCTCACCCACAAAAGACAGCAGAATATTCTAGTACCATAAGTACAAAAGATGAAATACCACCATGAGACTTGCCCCACGAGTGTGAAACCACTGAGACATCAGATACACCAACACACTTGTTTTCGTTTCTCAAAGAGCAAAGCAATGGTGCTAAATCCAAGCAGCATCAAGGTATCCTATACATTCATGATGCATTAGGAACAGAATTGATCTTGAGCAGTTCATTCAGAAGGAAAGAACCATGTTGGGCTCATCAACCTGCCATCTGGTGCTCGAAAGTTGTCATCCGATATGTCTGCAGCGAAAGGTGCCAGTGTACAATCCCTCATGTTGTACACAAACCTGTCAAAAGGGGGGCCATTTTTTGCAGGGAAGAGGTAACCATCAATGAAGTAGACAAGATCATCTTCAATTCCATCATACTGACATGCAAGAAATGACATGCTACTACATGGGCTAATGAAGATGCAATCGCCATCCAAGCTGTTGATCTCAGTGAATCTGAAAGGGTTTGTGCTTACATCCATCACGAATACGCTAACCTTGCAAATGTTGTGCCAACCTTCAGAACCACCGATGTATCTGACAACTAGCAACAATTTCCCATGCCATTCTACCATGTTCCACCTCTGTCCATAGCTATCCTTAACCTGGGGCAGCTCAGTGACACACCTCTCAACACGAGAAACCATCATCCCGCAATCATCCTCCGTGATCTCAAACGCAAAGAGGTTCGTGGTGAGCTTGCTGAGAATGTAGAACTTCCCCTGGTAGAAGGCAACATCACTGAACTTACTGATGCAGCCCCCATAGCAAATGCACCACGACGTCATCCCAGGTCTCCAGAGAGCAAGCTTAGCTCCGTTCCTGTGCACGGAGATGGCGGCCACCGTGTACGCTGAGCCGGAGCCAGGTGGAGAGGACAGGATCACCTTGCAGAACGACATCACATACTGCGCGGCGTGGATCGTGCAATCCACCACGCCGGAGCCATTGATGATGGGCAGCGATCTGGTGTAGACGTCGACGAGATGGGTGGACACGAAAGGTGGCGGGAGATTGACGACTTCCCGAGAGAAAGGGTTCACCAAGAAACACGCGCCATCGCCCAAGTAGCGAGCTTTCTTCTGCCGCACCACGGCGAGCCATCCTTCGCACGATCCCACGCAGCGGAGATCGCCAGCTGCCGCCGCCACCACCTCCACGGGCAGCGGGATGCGGCGCGTCTCCGACATGGCCCCGTCGACGCAGAACCCGGAGAACGCGAGGTTGGAGAGCACGAGCAGGGGGAGCGGCGGCGGCGGGCGGTGGAGGCGCGCCGCGGCGCGCCACGCCTGGCAGACGGACCGAAGCCTGGCGCGGTCCTCGACGCTGGGGAGGCGCCCGACCACGACCCCGATGATGTCCGCGGGGATGTCCGCCCACGACCGCCGCTGCGCCTCCCGCCCTGCGGTTTAAATCTTGGCATCGGTCAGTAGGCATTCCGTCGAACACGTAGCCTGCGCAGCCACCGCCGCGACCAGCAACACCACGCGCGCGCGAGGGAGGGGAAGGAAGGGGGGGGGGGGGGGTGGTTGTGGGGTGCAAGGCGTGCAAAGTAGGTCGAGAGAGGTCTCACCTATGGTTCCTTTGCCGGAATCCATGGCCACCGGCGCCGGAGGATCGCGTGGCGCGAGGGCTCGTCCCCTCGGGCAGGAGAGCTCCAAGCTTGCGCCACTGGGGTGCCTACTCTTGACAGGCTTCGTGTGAAGAAGATGCCTGTAGGCTGTAACTGGACTGGTCTGAGATTATTATTTTTTTAGACCTTTTTATTTTTAAATTTTATTAATAGACATTTGCAGAAAATATTCCCAAAAATTGAACCTTTTAGCTATGGCAGCGTTGTCCTGTCACGTCAGCAATGATGGCGTGGCAGGACAGCACTGCCACGCCAGCTGCGCGTGACGTTATAGAGTTATCTGAAATTGTTGTATTGCTAGATGTAGACTTATGCAACTGAGATATTCATATGCAGCCATAAAATTAATAGAGTTTGTCATGATAGGTGAGCTATATAAAGTGCCATATGAGAATAAAATTTGGACTTTAGTGGTTCCACATTTTTAACCAATATAAAGTAATATCTTATCAAGTGATGACTGATTGCAGTTGGGTCAAGTAATATCTCAAGCAATGAATCAAATATTATTGGACAAGCGATGACTGATTACAATTGGAGAAGTTTGTTAGCTATTGAAGTAGTCACAGAAATATTCTAGCCAAAAAGCAGTTGTCAGCAATCATAGTATGTATGGATTGACGCCAGGCGGGCTAGCATGGCCAAAGGTTCAGATTTGGAAATACTTTTTAAATAGTCTATTAATAAAATTTATAAATAAAAGGTCTAAAAAAAATCATGGTCTGACAGGTGGGTCCCCTAATGTTGTTTAGTACTATCAAATGATGTTTGAAACTCATATAGATAAAGATCAAGATCAAGTGTTTTACGCAAAACGAGGTGACATTAACGTATGATTAATTGAGTTTTAATTATTACAAACTTGAAAAATATATTTATCTGGTATTTTAGAGCAACTTCCATATAGAAAAGTTTTCGCATGAAACGCACCGTTTAGCAGTTTGAAAAGCGTGACACGAATATTCAAATTTTCATCCAACTTTTTTGGAGAAACGGACGGGTATGCCTATATTATCGCAGGAGTGAAATGACCCAAAATATTCCTATCACTTTTTAATCTCCTCTTGATTTGGTAGAGTTGTAAATTCATTGAAGTTACAATAGAATACTTCCTCCTTTTTTAATAAATGACACTGTTAATTTTTCGATGTACGTTTAACTATTCGTGTTATTAAAAATTTTGTGCAAATGCATAAGTACTTCTAATGATAAAACAACTTCTAGCAAAAATAAATGATAATTAAGTAATTTTTTTTAATAATATGAATGATCAAACATGTGTTCGAAAGTCAACGGTGTTATTTATTGAAAAGGAAGGTAGTACATGACAGAAAAAAAGGAATTAGTGAATCAATCTTTTTCAGAGAAAGTAATTAGATAGTGTATCCTCCTGAATTATCTTCAGATAACTATTCGGCGCTGTTAGGAAGAACATGAAAGTGCCACGCTTGATCAAGGGATAAAATTGTTCCCATAAAATTCAGGTTATCTAATACTAAAATCTTTTATATGACCTGTTTAAGATCAATTTCTTCTCACAAAAATATATATTTAAGATTAATTTCAAAGAAATGGCATGCCACTTGGAATAGCAGCAAATTTAGCCTGAAGCAATGTCTACATGTTCCATACATCGGTTCAAGAACGGAAAAGAAAGGTACCACCATCAGATATGCAGTGCAACTGAAGAAATGCATTTATGTTGATCTGATGATCTTGATCGAGAACCACGGTTTCCTAGGATCAGTGTGCTAAAATAGTAAAATTTGGTGTTAATTTTGTCGAGTTAATTGGATCTTTGCTTTGATGGGATGGGGGAAACCTGGCCTGCTTATTATTATATAGTTGTTGCAATGCAAGCAAGATAGGCTTGTTTGATCGGATCATATATTTTTCCTTACACTATCTAAAAAAATTAAATTTTTCATTATACTATTATAAAATATTATATTTTCATTGCATTATCTGGAAAAAAAATATCTTCATTCATGGTGTGTGTGCGCCAACTGAGTGAGACCGGCAGCACTCTAGTCAATACTCTATGACTTCTTTTTTAAGGCCGTCGTGACTGAAGAAAACAGTCAAGTCATGGCAATTCTCTAGCCTTGTCTGACCATTTGGTACTTAGTGATTCTGAAAACCATGACCAATTCCATAGATTCGCATATGCTTCCTTGACATCTCCACAGAAACAAGGCTACAATAGCACAATGGTGATATTGCCAGAGATGACCAGATTGACCTTGTAGTGCTTTGCCTGAAGAGCAGTGAGACAGAGTGACTTGGTCCAAGATGTTAGGCTCTGTACCCCAGGACAGAACCAAGTCAAGAAAAAATTATCACAACAAATTTTTACACATATTCTAGTCTCAATTTATCAAAGACTCACCCTAAAAAAAATTATCAAAGACTCAAACCAAGCAATTAGGAGCTAAGACACACTGCACTTCCCTATATATAGTCCTTCTCCCCCACTGAACATTTCATCACAACTTCAGAATCACACAGCCTCTCACAAAGCACTTAGACATCAAAAGAATTTGCTGAAATGGCAGCTAAGATCATCGAGAGCCACCGTGTCGGTGCAGAGATCGCAAATGGTGACGAAGCAGCCAAGAAGAAGTCCATTGAGCTTCTCTCTGAACTTGGCCTCCCAGAAGGGCTATTCCCCTTGGACGATATGGAGGAGTTTGGGTATAACCGCGCAAACGGGTTCATGTGGATTGTTCACAGGAAGAAGAAGGAGCACACCTTCAAGAAGATCAAGCAGACAGTCTCCTATGCCACCGAGGTGACGGCATTCGTCGAAAAGGGGAAGCTGAAGAAGATTGCAGGGGTGAAGACCAAAGAGCTGATGCTGTGGCTCAGTGTGGTTGAGGTCTATGTTGATGAGTCTTCTGCTGGGAAGATCACATTCAAGACTGGCACTGGCCTCTCCGATAGTTTTGATGCGTCGGCCTTCGAGTTAGGAATGTAAACTGAAGAACATATCAGGGGATTTATCTTTAATTTTGTTTTGTTTCCCCCATGTTTTATGGTATGTTCACTATGTTGTTGTAACTTTACACGGAGAATAAGTTATGTTGGTTCTATAAATGAAGTATTTCTGTGCATCTGTAATTTCTGGGTTTGTTACTTCCTTTTAGAAATATAAGACTGGTGCTGATGCTGAATGATCATCTTCCTCATAAACATAAGTGCCTTCAATAACAAGAATGATTTCTGCTGCAGTCCCCATCCACTTCAGCACGACCATTGAGATAGAGCAAAAACATGTATTTGAAATTGAGAAACTCTGTTAAAACACAAGTAATAATTCAACTACATGACGGCATTTACCTTGCAAGAAAGGAGATTTTCTGAAAGATTGGAAACTTTCTGTCTAAACTCGAGACAACAGACGACTTGAACATTTGTTCAGATTGGCTGAACAAACACAAACGAAACGCGAATATTAGAGAAGGACCTAATATCAAATAAATAGAAGGGGTGAGGCTTCGAACTCAGGTCGTCTAGCTCACCACCCTGTGGAGCTAGCCGGAAGACCTCTGTGCGTTTCTCTTGGCTGAACAAACACATGATCGCTATTCTGAATTTTCTGAGGTTCAGTCCGCTATTTGTTTTCCTTTTTAAAAAAATTATGTTTACAAGACATCTGGTTATCTGAACAAGAAACTGGTCGCATTGATACAGCAGTTAAGCCATGATGTGAACATATTCCGGTTGCTCCTGAATTTGGAACAACCTGAAAGTAGGGTACAGAACAGTAGTTTTACTGCATTGATTTTGCTAGCATGACTGGGAACATTGCATTTGAAGATCTCTATTGTCCTGTGCTAATATATTGCAATGGGGCATCTTTCACTCTAATCTTACAAGTTTCCTGTAGAAAGTGTTCTCCTGCTACTAAACATTAATTATCAACTTTACTGATGAACAATCTACCAAGATTACATGCTACATTTGCATGTATACTGACTTATCTGAACTGCAAACGCATAGCACAATCCGTTAGCCACATGACAGGCCAATGAAAAATAAAATCAATAGAGCTGTCCAGGCATGACCAGATTGACCAACAAGTCAATCTGCTAATGCTTAGCCTGGTCTGGTCTGGTCTACCAAGGCATGCTAAGCTCCAGCCCTGCATGCCTGCATTGTACAAGCCAAGTCAAAATATGTGCACTCAGGATACTTCAAACTGGCCTATATATAGCTCTCCTTGCTACACTTCTCATCACAAAACACATAGCTTCATAGCTCATACTAGTGATCACAACTTCACAAGCTCCAAACAAGCCATTCCTATTTCTCAACAGGCTAGATGGCATCCCAAATCATTGAGACGAACCGTGCTGGTGCCGAGATCATCAATGGCGATGCCGCTGGCAAGAAGAAGTCCATTGAGCTGCTCCAGGAGCTAGGCCTTCCCAAGGGCCTCTTCCCCTTGGACGACATCGAGGAGTTCGGCTACAACCGTGCAAACGGTTTCATGTGGATTCTTCATAGCAAGAAGAAGGAACATACCTTCAAGAAGATCAAGCAGACCGTCTCCTACGCCACCGAGGTGACGGCGTTCGTCGAAAAGGGGAAGCTGAAGAAGATTGCTGGTGTCAAGACCAAGGAGCTGATGCTTTGGCTCAGTGTGGTTGAGGTCTATGTTGAGGAGTCATCTGCTGAGAAGATCACCTTCAAGACTGGCACTGGCCTCTCCGATAGCTTCGATGCGTCGGCCTTCGAGCTAGGAATGTAGAATAAACATTATCTAAACAAAAGGAATGTAAACTGAAGAACTGAACATCCGAGGGAATTTATCTTCATTTTCTCTTTTAGTTTTCTTTTTACATACAGTATGTAACTGTATTTCGCACGGAGAATATGTGATATTGGATTTATAAATAAGTGTTGATGTACATCTGGGCACGAAATTTCAGTGTTTTCTTTTTGAAATATAAGGCTTATGCTGACTGCTGAGTGATCATCTTCCTCTTAAAAATATGTACCATCAATAACCAGGTTGATTTCTGGTTTCTACTGCAGTCTCCAACTCTCCATTTGCTTAAGCGTCCTTGAAACAAAACTTGAATACTTGATCATTGTGACAACGTAAAGCCTGTATTCAAGATACCGCCAAAATACATAGTAAAAATCTAAATTAACACATCATGACTGTATTTTTTGCGAACGCCCAAAAAGATTGCACATCAATATATTCAGGGAACATCATGACTGTGCTTACGTTACACAAAACAAAAATGAAATATCTTTATAAAAAGGAAGCACGCCACCATGATCCCAAGGAATCCTGCAGTACTCTGAAATCTTGGAACCTTTTTGTCTGAACTAAAAACTACAGACTTTGTTGAACATTTGTGCAGCAGGGGCCCTTAAAAACGGCAACACTGCTCTGAATTAAGCAGAAAATGGTGCCCAAGTTCTTCAAGTACAAGCAGCCACTATCCTGTTCACAGGAGATGTAATTATCTGAACAAGAAACTGGCCGCGGTGGTGGTGTAGCAGTTAAGCCCTGAAGTGGGTCACAAAACCTGAATTTAGAACAGCCTGAAAGTAGGACACAAAACCATATTCTTACCGTATGGCCTTAACATGACTGGGAATACATTTAAAGTTTTCTATTCCCCTGTGCTCATAGTATGTTACTGTTACAATAGAGCATCGTCCACTTCAATCTTTTCCTGTAGAAACAGAGATTTCTGTTACTAAACACTACTCCTGTATTATCAACTTAATTGCTGGACACACACCCAACTTTACATACTACATAGGCATGCCTGTGTTTGACTTCTCTGAAATGCAACTGCATAGCACAATCCGTTAGCCACACGCCATAAAATCAACAATAACAAAAAGAAAAAAAATCAATAGAGTTGTCCAGGCATAACCAGATTGACCAACCAGCCATTCTGCAAAAGTATGTGGAGCAAGTCAAAATATGTGGAACTTATTCTAGTCTCAGCCTAGATACTTAGGACACTTGCCACTTGCCTATATATAGCTCTCCACCTTGCTACACTTCTCATCACAAAACAAATAGCTTCATAATTCATACTTCATACTAGTGATCACAGCTTCATAGTTCCAACCAGACCATTCCCACCACCATTCTAAATTTCCAATCGTTTCTCAACAGGCTCACCGTTCCGGTGCGGAGGTCATCAATGGTGATGCCGCTGGCATGATGATTTGCCAAATCACAGATATCCAGTTGAGGGATTAAAGAGACTCGATCAAATCAAATTTAGGAATGATCATCACTTCAGCCAGGCAGGCAGATGGTACATGTAAACTGAGGTGCTCACTAAACAACAAGCTTAGTTCAAAGTAACAAATACCTTATTATCGAAACAAGCATACCCAATTGCAAACAATTAACAATCAACTGAACTTCTTCTGCTGTGATCATTAAGCTCAACAATAGACAAACATGCCAATCCAGTTCATTCTTGGATGAAAGAAATCGGAATAGTTGCATCCAATCCCCAAAAGGGAAAAATATAACAGCATGATTCATTCTTGGATGAACTAGTACCATAGTCATCAATAGTGATCACTTCCATGGTTACATGAAAGAAAGACTTAAGTCACCCCTTAGTTTGCTAGCAATTTCTGAGTCATAATATGTGTATCAAAACTTTGAAAGTGAAATTAAGTACACCAAAACTTGTGCAAACAGGGCACTGATAAGTATGTTGCAATCAAAGTAGATCTGTGACATGTATTCAGCGTAGTTGAGAACAACCAACAGCAGAACATTTCAATCATGAAAAGGAAAAGAGCACCATCGCTGATTTACATGAACGCGGTCAACAGAGGACACCTTAGCGCTGTCATACTCTTCATATGATCTGATCAGATTTTCTCAGTAGCATTCATTTCGGAGGAAATAACCACAAGAGGTTATCCATGAACGGGTCAGAGTTGTCCCCAGGTACTAGAACAGGGAATACTGCCGTTGTAGCATCTCTCACATTGAACACAAGTATATCAAAAGAATGGTGGACACCAATAGTCTGTTGCCGAAAGCTGCTAACGAAGTAAACAAAATCACCTTTGGCTCCATCATACTGACAAGCAGGAAAGGACTTGCTGCTGCGCGAACTAATGAAGAGACAATCACCATCCAAGTTGTTTATCTCAGTCAAGCTGTAAGGGTTTGTGCTGAAGTCCAGAGCATATATCCCAATTCTCCGATTCTCTACCCAGACATGGTCAGCATACATAACGATCAGCAATAGTTTCCCACGCCATTCAACAATGTGGAACTCATTCACTGCACAACCCTCGACTGGGGGAAGCGTCTGTGTAACACACCGCTCAACATACGAAACCATAACTCTGCCATCGACCTCTTCAAGCTGAAAGAACATGATAGACAGGATATGTGGAAAGTATGTCGAGACCATGGCCATGTAGATCCTCCCCTGGTAGAAGGCAATATCAGCTGAACCATCGAACCAAAAGCTTCTGCAAACGCATCATGATGTCATCCCAGGGTGCCAGAGAGCAAGGATGCACTGAGATATGGCAGCCACGGTGCACATTGAGCCAGAGGAAGGTGAACCAGATAAAACCACCTTTCTGAAGCACACCGAGTACTCATGTTCTTGGATAATGATGTCGACCGAACCTGTGGTGTTGACGATGGGGAGAGTCTTGCAGATGTGATGGGATAATCGGAAGGCAGATGGCCTCGGTAGTTGGATCGTCTCCCGGGAGAATGCGTTCACCAAGAAGCAATGGCTGTGGGCATCCTTGCATACGCTGCCAGGTCGAGTCCCCACGAGCCACTCGTCGAACGAACCCACCCAGCGGAGGCTCTCGTCCTCGTGCAGCGGAATGCGTGTGAACTCAGCGTCAGCGATCACCATGACGGAGGAGAAGCTGGAGAAGCTGACGAAGCCGAACCGGGAGAACACGAGCATGGGGAGTGGCCGGGGCGGGCGCTGGATGGCCGCGGCGTTGCGCCACGAGCTGCAGACGGAGCGCACCCTGGCGCGGCCAGCGGCGCACGGGATGTGGCCGAGCACAAGGCCAAGCAGGTCCCCCGGGAGGTCATTCCACGGGCCCCGCAGCAGCGCATCGCCTGCAGGGACAGCAACCACCACCAATCTCTTTGTGAGGCATTTCATCGAACACCTCGCGCACAAAAAAAAAAAAACTCACGCGTACATTTCGAACGAACCACGAACAAGCACACGGCGCCCCCCACACACACAGAGAGCGAGAGAGAGAGGGGGAGGAGTTGCAGATGAGGGGTCACCTGAGATGCTTCCGTCCATGGCGGCCGGAGAGCGGCAGGTTCGCCGGAGTTCGAATGCGTCGGTTTCTTCCTCACGAACTCGCCGTGGTGAGGCGAATTGGAACGGATTTCAAGAGAGAAAAAATGATTTGGGCCGAATGGTCTCTGCTCTTCATATGTACTCCTGACTCCTGTATACTTCCTTCTTCAGGAAATGAAAATTTTTAGGCGCCACACCGGATGTCGGAAGGGGTTTTCGGACACGAATGAAAAAACTAATTTCATAACTTACTTGGAAACCGCGAGACGAATCTTTTGAGCCTAATTAACCCGTCATTCGCACATGTGGGTTATTGTAGCACTTATAGCTAATCATGGACTAATTAGACTCAAAAGATTCGTTTCGCGATTTCCTCCATAACTGTGTAATTAGTTTTTTCATTTATCTACATCTAATGCTTCATGCATGTGTCCAAATATTCGATGTGATGTTTTTGGGAAAAAATTTTGGGGAACTAAACGGGGCCTACTAGATGAGACCAAGGCTTAAAAGTTTTGGGCGTGTCACATCAAATATACTGACACACATTTAAGGTATTAAACGTAGACTAATAACAAAACAAATTATAGAATCCGCCTGTAAACTGCGAGACGAATTTATTAAGCCTAATTAATATGTCATTAGCAAATATTTACTATAGCACCACATTGTCAGATCATGGAGCAATTAGGATTAAAAGATTTGTCTCGCAATTTACACGCAATCTGTGTAATTTGTTTTTTTGTTTTATATTTAATACTCCATGCATGTGTCTTAACATTCGATGTGACAGGGTGAAAAATTTTACCGAGGGATCTAAACATGGCCCAAAGCGAGAAGCCGATTACAGAGATAGTAGGCTCTGGTTAGGCCTTATTACGGCCCACCTCATCTAGCGAATCAGTTCAGTACAAATGGGAACACTGCACTGAATTTTCAAAACTTCAATTAGCCATTTGAATTTCGAATATTCAGATAGCCATTTGGTTTTGTAAAAAATAGATTATATTGGGCAGATTGTTCAAGTGCAGGCTGTCACTATCTTTTTTCTCACAAGAATTCCGGTTATCTGAATGAGAAACTGGTCGCAGTCAGTCTGCATATTCCACTTTTGCACCTGAATTTGCTACAACCTGAAAATTGGACACATAAAAGTAACCTTATTGTATTGATTTTGCTTAGCATGAATGGGAACATCGCATTTCAAAAAATATATTCTCCCTGTGCTAATAGTGTATTACAAAGGAGCATCATTCACTCCAATCTTACATGTTTACTGTGGAAATAGATAGTGCTTCCTATTATTAAACACCTATATTATCAGCCTAATTGTTGGACTTCTATAAACTTTACATATTGCATAGGCATGCCTGTTTTGACTTCCCTGAACTGCAACTACATAGAACAATCCGTTAGCCGCACGCCATAAAATTGACCAACAATGACAAAAAGAAAATCAATAGAGCTGTCCAGGAATGACCGGATTGACCAACCAGCCATTCTGCCAATGCTGAAGATCTCCAGAGCTGCATTGTACAACACCAAGTCAAAATATGTGCCCTGATTCTAGTCTCAACCCAATCACTCAGGACACCTTCACACTGGCCTATATATACATCTCCTATCCTTGCTACACTTCTCATCAGAAAACACATAGCTTCATAGTTCAGACTAGTGATCACAACTTCACAAGCTCCAAACAGACCATTCTCATTTCTCAACAGGCTAGATGGCATCCCAAATCATCGAGACCAACCGTGTCGGTGCGGAGGTCATCAATGGCGATGCCGCTAGCAAGAAGAAGGTCCATTGAGCTGCTCCAGGAGCTCAATCTTCCCAAGGGCCTCTTCCCCTTGGATGATATTGAGGAGTTTGGCTACAACCGCGCAAATGGTTTCATGTGGATTCTACATAGGAAGAAGAAGGAGCATACCTTCAAGAAGATCAAGCAGACCGTCTCCTACGCAACCGAGGTGACAGCATTCGTCGAAAAGGGTAAGCTCAAGAAGATTACAGGAGTGAAGACCAAGGAGCTGATGTTGTGGCTTAGTGTGGTTGAAGTCTATGTTGAGGAGTCATCTGCTGGGAAGATTACCTTCAAGACTGGCACTGGTCTCTCTGATAGCTTTGATGCCTCAGCCTTTGAGCTTGATATGTAGATTATTGGATGTTACTGGTGGCTAAATGTTCAGCCTTTTTCTCACTTGGGCTTTCTTTTCATCTCTTTTTCATGTACTTGTCTTCATAAAATGAATTGTCAAATTCTGTAACCTGAAAAGAATTTATATTGGTGTGCAATTGGCTAGTTTGTCGTAAATTTTATCTGTTGTTCCTTCAGGGTATATCTATAAGTTTGACACAATTTAAGAACTGAACCAAATTACTAACTCAGCAGAAAAAGACATACTGAAAAAGATCATGATTTGCCAAATCACAGATATCCAATTGAGGGATCAAAGAGACTTGATCAAATCAAATTTAGGCATGATCAGCACTTCAGCCTGGCAGTCAGGTGGTACGTGTAAACTGAGGTGCTCACTAAACAACAAGCTTAGTTCAAAGTAGCAAAACAATACCTTGCAGGTGGAAACAAGCATACCCAATCGCCAACAATTAACGGTCAACTGAACTTCTTCTGTTGTGATCATTAAGCTCCACAATAAACAAACAGGCCAATCGGAATTATAAGCATCCAATCCCCAAAAGGGAAAATATAACAGCAATACAGCATAATTCATTCTTGGATAAACTGTAGTACCATAGTCATCAATAGTTATCACTTCCATGGTCATATGAAAGAAAGACTTATGTCATCCTTAGTTTGCTTGCAAATTCTGAGCCTTAATATGTGTGTAACAAGACTTTGAAAGTGAAATCATCAGGGTTAAAGTACACATAAAATTTCAGTGTCAAACAGGGCATGATAAGTATATTGCAATCAAAGTAGATCTGTGACATGTACTCAGGGTTATTTGAGAACAACCAACAACACAATATTTCGGTCATGAAGAGGAAAAGAACACCATCACTGGTTTACATTTCGGTCAATGGAGGCCACATTAGCACTGTCATACTATTGATATGATATGATCTGATTGGATCTTCTCAGTAGCATTCATCTCGGAGGAAATAACCACAAGAGGTTGTTCGTGAACGGGCCAGAGTTGTCCTCAGGTGCAGAAACAGATAATCGTGTCGTTGTAGCATCTCTCACATTGTACACAAGTACATCAAAAGAATGATGGACACCAGTAGCATGTTGCCAATAGCCGCTAACGAAGTAGACAAAATCACCTTTGGCTCCATCATACTGACAAGCAGGAAAGGACTTGCTGCTGCGCAAACTAATGAAGAGACAATCACCATCCAAGTTGTTTATCTCAGTCAAGCTGTGAGGGTTTGTGCTGAAGTCCAGAGCATATATCCCAATTTTCTCAGTGTCTAGCCAGACATGTTCAGCATACATAACGATCAGCAATAGTTTCCCACGCCATTCAACAATGTAGAATTCATTCACTACACAACCCTCGACTGGGGGCAGCGTCTCTGTAACACACTGCTCAACATACGAAACCATAACTCTGCCATTGACCTCTTCAAGCTGAAAGAACAGGATGGACAGGATATGTGGAAAGTATGTGGAGACCATCGCCATGTAGATCCTCCCCTGGTAGAAGGCAATATCAGCTGAACCATCGATGCCAAAGCTTCTGCAAACGCACCATGATCTCATCCCAGGGTGCCAGAGAGCAAGGGTGCGACTAGAAATGGCAGCCACGATGCACATTGAGTCAGAGGCAGGTGAAGCAGATAAGACCACCTTTCTGAAGCACATCGAGTACTCCCGGTCATGGATAATAATGTCGACCCAACCTGAGGTGTTGACGATGGGGAGAGTCTTGCAGAAGTAATCGAAGAAATGCAAGGCACATGGCCTCGGTAGTTGAATCTTCTTCCGGGACATGAGATTCAGCAAGAAACAATGGCCGTCGGCATCCTTGCATTCCCTGCTGGGTTTCGTCCCGACGAGCCACTCGTCGAACGATCCCACCCAGCGGATGGTCACGTCCTTGTGAAAAAAAAAGCGGCGGGGTTTGGTGAACGCCATGGCGGGCGATAATCTGGAGAGGCTTGCGAAGCTGAACCGGGAGAACACGAGCACCGGGAGTGGCGGGGGCGGGCGCTGGATGGCCGCGGCGGCGCGCCACGAGCGGCAGACGGAGCGCACCCTGGCGCGGTCAGCGGCGCACGGGATGACGCGGAGCACGAGGCCCAGCATGTCCGCCGGGATGTCGTTCCACCGCTCCCGCGGCAGCGCGTCTCCTGCAGGAAACCGCCAAATCCCTTGTCAGGCATTTCATCGAACACCTTGCGCACAAACAAAAACTCACGCATACATTTCGTCGGCGAACTCCGAGCAAAGCACACCACAGAGACAGAGACAGAGAGGGAGGGAGCAGGGGGGGTGGGGATGAGTCCTCACCTGAGTTTCTTCCGTCCATGGCGGCCGGAGACCACAGTTTCGCCGGAGTTCGATTGCGTCGGCTTCCTCTCCGCGAACTCGTGGCCTCGCCGTGGTTTTGATGCCCCGTGGAGGTGAACGCAAACGGCAACGCGAGCTTCTCCTTCAAATTTCAAGAGAAAAAAGAAATGAACTGGAAAGGATAGAGTCCAAACGAATTCTACATGGGCCTCAATACGGCCCAGAACTACAGCTCTGATAGAGCCCACAATGTGGGCCCCACGACGATTCCCCCTTACCTCATCCTGCGAATCAGTTTCGCCCACGTGGAATGGCCAGAGACGCCCGTAGCGAGGGAACATTCGAGAAGGCCATGGAATCTGCCACTGCTACTACGAAGGCGTAAACGTAATCGCCTCTCACGTCAGTACGCGTCCCAACCTGCTCCACTCCCTCGGCGCTGACCACAAAAAATTCCACGACGCCGCGAGATATCTTCTTCTCCCTTCAAGAACTCCATGGAAATCTCTCGTGGCCTCCTGCGAGCGAGCCGCGACGACGACGACGACCTCGCGAGTCCGCAAGAACGCCGCGGCGACTGACCTGCTCTGCTCGGCTGCTCGCCATTGATTTTCTCTGTCTGCTCGGCTGCTCGCTTGCTTGCGCTGTCCAGTTTAGCTCTGTCTAGCTAGGTAGACTGCGGCCATGGCGGCGGCGGTGGCGTCGTCTTGCTGCGCCTCGACCAGCGCTCGCCCACTGGTTCGCCGCGCCGGGAGCAGGAACGGGAAGCTGTGGTGGGCGGGTGGTGTCAGGAAGGCGCGGCTGCTGTCCATCTCCGCCACGGCCGCGGCGCCGTCGGGCGTGGACTACGCGGCGGGCACCGGCGCCGCCGCCGACGACGACGCCGTGGCTGCGCTCAAAGTCAAGCTTCTGGTCAGTGATCTGAACTAGCCTCGTCATGGCTGTTTGATTGGTCTCAGTGTGTTTGAATTCCGTGCTTAATTTTTGGGCGCAGAGCGCGGTGTCCGGGCTGAACCGCGGCCTCGCGGCGAGCCAGGAGGATCTTGACCGCGCCGACGCGGCGGCGCGGGAGCTCGAGGCGGCGGCGGGCGGCGGCCCCGTCGACCTGGAGAGGGACGTGGACAAGCTGCAGGGGCGGTGGAGGCTGGTGTACAGCAGCGCGTTCTCGTCGCGGACGCTCGGCGGCAGCCGCCCCGGCCCGCCCACCGGCCGCCTCCTCCCCATCACCCTCGGGCAGGTCAGAGAAACAAATCGATCCTGAATGATTTTGGAGAAATTCGGGCCTAGATCAATCTGAAACGTGTTTGCGTTTGGTCACCAGGTGTTTCAGAGGATCGATGTTGTCAGCAAGGACTTCGACAACATCGTCGATGTCGAGCTCGGCGCGCCATGGCCGCTGCCGCCGGTGGAGCTGACGGCGACGCTGGCTCACAAGTTTGAGATCATCGGTGAGTCACTGTTCCCACTACTTGTTTCTCCTCTTCTCAGTACAGCTACACCCAATGGCCCGACCTGTTTGGTGTGCTTATCACTGTTCTTGATAACGCAATCCTGAACAATTTGTTTGAACCACATAACTTCCATATTTTCTGCTTAATTGCAACCCCATCATATTCATATATGCAAATATAATATCACTTGTTACTGTTCTTGATAAGGTAATCCTGAACAATTTGTGTCGACCACATAATTTCCATAGTTTCAGCGTAATTGCAGGTTTGCATCTGCTTAATATGGCATTTGCTTCTTGACAATGCAAGCAAAGTTTTTGTCAACCAACAATTGTCTTCCGACTTTGAATAATTCTGATGGTCACTGTTGTTAGGCACCTCGAGCATAAAGATCACATTCGACAAGACGACGGTGAAGACGAAGGGGAACCTGTCCCAGCTGCCGCCGCTGGAGGTCCCTCGCATCCCGGACAACCTCCGGCCGCCGTCCAACACCGGCAGCGGCGAGTTCGAGGTGACCTACCTCGACGGCGACACCCGCATCACCCGCGGGGACAGAGGGGAGCTCAGGGTGTTCGTCATCTCGTGATCGGACGGACGCGTTCGCGACATAGGTATGCGGCTTGCGATTCTGAAACTGAAACTGAAGCGCACACACGGTTTTGTGTTCTTTCTCTGCTACTAGTAGATCCTCACTCTCTTGATCTGACCATCTTTGTACTATACTTCAGTATTGTTCGTGCGTTCTGTATTGTTATAGATTTTGCAGATATTCAACAAGTAGAGGGAAATATGTCAAAATGAGAAATCGAGGAAAATATATTTCCAAAAGAAAAATATAGGTGCATTCGTAATGTTCATTCATCGTGTACAGATTCAAGTACTGCACAAAAGTTCTGAAAAAATAATTAAAATGAGAAATCGAAGAAAATATATTTCAAAAAGAAAAATATAGGTGCATCAGTAATGTTCATTCATCGTGTTCAGATTCAAGTACTGCACAAAAGTTCTGAACAAAAATTTGTAGAAGAAAGGGGGCATTCCGAGAATCGAACTCGGGACCTCTCGCACCCAAAGCGAGAATCATACCACTAGACCAAATGCCCTTTGATGCTGATGGTAGTTAACCACTTTTTAAATTAATTAACAACGGTGTTATCCACTACCACGGACCGGATTTTCCGTGGATCCCAAACAAAAGGAAGACAAAACTGAGGGAGGAACCGTGAAAGAATCTACCGTTGGCCTCTGCATGTTAACCCGCTGCAAAATGTGAAACCATGTGTTTTGAGGAAGTACCTCAAATCAGCAAACCGCTATAACGCTATACACTGCTATCAGCAAAACACATCCGTGCACCAACCGATTTAAGGCCTCTTTTGATACAAAGAACAAATATATAAAGTAAAAAGGACTTGTATCTTACGGGAAAATTTCCTATAAAGTGCTTTAGAGCAAACTATTGATAAGTACAAATTTTTGAAATTTGTTTGGAATAGGCCAATTATGTATTGTAGCACCGTAGCATCAATTTGGGCTTGCACCGGCTGGTCACCCCACGATTTATTTTGAACTTTTTTAAATTTTTAGTTTCAAACATAATATTTTTTGCAAGGCTTATTTTAACACGTTACTGGTTACATGATAGTGTTATTTTATCATATCAGACAAGTCGATGCGGCCAGAAGTTTAAGAAGGGTTTATTTTTGAAATATGAAAATTAAAAAAATCAAAAAATAAGAAAAATTCTCAGCGCACATGACACGCGCACGAAATTACAGGACGACCATGTATGTGCACGTTACCTCGAAGAACATAAGAACAACAATTCGTCCTCGGTTAATTTAGCGTTCGCCTTATCAATCAAGCGTGTGCTCCTACCTCGACACGATCACACCAAAAAGTACCGCATTTAATTTGTAAGTACATTACACAAAAGCTTTGTTTAGTAAGGGCCCTTTTGAATCAAAGTATTTATATAAAAATTTCATAGGATTCAAATCCTATAGGAAATTTTCCTATTTGTCCATTTGATTTAAATGATTGAAGCTTTCCAAATCCTATGAAATTCCTATAGAATGGCACATTGTATGTGGATTTTGGAGGAAATTTAGTAAGAGCTCCAACCTCTTGGAAAATTTCCTTTGAGTCTATCTCTCTCATCCGATTCCTACGTTTTTCCTGCGCTCCAATCAAACGACCATTCCTATGTTTTTCCTGTGTTTTGCAATCCTCTGTTTTACACTTCAATTCCTGTCTGAATCCTGTGTTTTTCCTATTCCTTCGTTTTTTCTACCCTGCGATTCAAAGGGGCCCTAAATGGGATAGGATCTTATTTAATACTAGCCATTCGTCTATTTTCCCTTTTCAATCCCACCTCTCATAATCTATTTACCAACCATCCCAAAAGACACTTACCAATATGGTTTAAAAACCATTAACTCTATCTCACAATTTAGCGAGTATCACGGCAACCGTATGATTATCGCGAGATATAATATGGTTTCTAAAACTAAAATAACCGTGATAATTGGTTTTGTACACCCTCCACCAGAGCTCGACCAAAACAATGCGGCGCTGGCAAGCTGCACATGCCTTTCTAGCTTGCAGCCAAGATGTACGGAAGCAAAGCAGGTGAGGCCAAAACAGTACGGCACACTTGAGCAAGGCTAGCTAGAGGAGTGCTCCTAGTAATAGAGTGTACTACTACTTCCACTATGCAGGAGCAGCAGCATGACGCAGAAGGGGAGACCAAAACGCCGCCGTGGGGGCTTATTGATTTGCACCGTCCGTCCGTTCGCCGGCGGCTAGCTCGCCGGCCGCCGCCTCATCCAGAGCAATATTGCACACGCGGCGGCGCGCGGGGGTGTCATGGCCGGCCGGTGCTGCGCGCGTGCTCCGGCCGCCTCGGGCTGCCGTGGTGGTGCATCGGGTCCGGGCCGGCCGGCACTGACCGGAGCTCCGCCGCCGCGGCGGCCGAGGGCGCCCCTCTCCCCGGCGGCGGCGACGATCTCGACGCCGTCGACGACCAAGAAGACCACGACGGCCTGCGGGTGCCCTTCACGCCGCGCGGCTGCTTCGTCTTCGGCTAACCAGTTTGCACACGTTATACAAGCAAAATGTCAGCAATGCATGCAAACTACTTCTCTAATGAAACAAAATCTAACTCGATCCGGTAAACAGAGGTGCAAATAATTGAGATTGAAGTGAAAATAAAACATGTACCTCTGTCACGAGATCAAAAGATGTCGCCGGGACTGGCCTCTGGTCACCACTAAACTCACCGGGCAAGCCTGAAAGTGATCAGTCCAAAGAAAATGTCAGCAATGCATTAACCAAATGCATGTATGAAAAACAAGAAAAAAAAAGAAAGAAAAGAGATTCAAGTGAGAAAAAAGGAAAGGCTCAGAACTGAAGCTCCTACGACGTACCAACACGTCCATGCACCGGAGCAACAAGCAGCAGAGCAACCCAACACCATGCAACCACCAAACACAAGAAGAGCCGGCCCATGTCAAGCAAACACACAAAACTACTACTAGTAGTGTAGCTTAGCTACTGTACTCTACTTACAAATTACCGCAGTACAAAAACCAGAGGATAACAACCTCTCAAAGAAACCGTTGTGTCTTTGAGATGTGGAAGATACACACACAGCACAGGTAGGAGGATACTTATAGCTCATGAGGAGTTTGTAGAGGAAGAAGAAGATGAGGCTGAGTAAATCTTGGGATAGTTACAGTGGTAATGGTACCAGTAACACTAGCAGCACTAGCAGTTCTCCTGCTGCCAAGCAGAGTAGTAGTAGCAGTAGTTGAGTACAGGTTTACAGTTAAGGCTTGACATGATGCACGCCATCTTGTCGAAAACTTTTCTGGGAAAAGGGAGCCAAAGATTGTGTTGGGGAGCGGAGAAGTGGAGATCCGCCGGATCCAGTACAAAACCGGGGGGAATTGATTGCGTCGTTGGCTCGGTCTCTTGACGGGTGACGCGCACCGGCCGGGTCACATATGGGTCACCGTTTCGGTGCAAGTTTGCATTGGCTGTGTGCCTGTGTGCGCAGTGCGTGCAGTGAGCTCATCTGCAAACAAAATTAAGGGGAGAATCGTGTTACCTGGTTCACGGATCTCTTCGCCTCTCTGGCTTTGCATGCAACATAATTGCTCCTTGAAACTTGGAACATCTTGTTTTGTTTGGTACTCTAATTCTTACCCATTTTTCATACTCGTACATGCATTAACCTTATAGCAGGTACAATAGTAGACGGTAAATGGTCCACATAAGATTTTTTTTTATGAGCTGGAGGAGAGAGGGGAAGAGAGAGAGAGGAGAAGCAGATGACTAATTAGCCGTCTGGCTACACGCTCGGCCCGAGGTCACAGGGCCCACCAGGAGAGACAGGTTCTCCATCGACGCGCGTTGTCCACCACCATTGCCATCGCTCTCCATTGTCATCGTCGTCGCACGCTCCAACGGGTCACGGCCCTTGTTCGTTGTTGCCACCGCGGCCACCCTCATCCGTTGCCACCGCTGTCGCACTTCACTGAGTCATTGCCCTCGTTTGTCACTACCGCCGCCGCTGCCCTCGTCCATTGTCGCCGCTGCCGTTGCACTCCACTGGGTCGCTGTCCTTGTCCATCGCTGCCCGCCGCCGTCGCACTCCACTAGGTCACAGTCCTCGTCCGTCACTGCCGCCGCCGCTGTCGGCCTAGTCCGCCATGGCCATCGTCGGACTCCACTAGATCGCTGCCCTCGTCCGCCATGGCCCTCGTCTTCGTCGCGCTCCGAGTCGCCAGCCTCGCCCGCCATAGCTGCCGTCGCCGTCCTACATCCTCCGTAGCCGTCGCCGCCCTAGTCCCTTGCTGTTGCTGTCGCCCTCTTCCGTCGCCGATGCGTTCCTCGTCCACCTCGGCCGGCGGCCCTCATCTACCACGGCCGCTGCCGGCGTGTTCTTCTGCTGCAGCTCGTCCACCGCAGGCGCCGCCGTCGTCGTCCTCTTCTGTCGCAGCTAATATCCACTGCCGCAACTGTCATCGTCGTTGTCTACTGCATCTAATCCCCATCGGAAGAGAAGAGGTGAGAGGAAGAGACATAGAAAGATGGTGGGACCCATAAAAGATAAAATATATGTGTTATTGTATTTTCTATTGCATAGACATTAGCTGCAACATTTACTATAGATGACATGGCTAATTTTTAGAGCCAACGGTGGGCTGTATTATTGACCTTGCTCTTGAAACAAAGTTGAAAGAAAGTTATAAAGGGTACTCCAAATCAATTTGGGACTACTCCAACCCTGCCGCCTAGTGCCTTGGCTTGCTCCTGGCAGTTCACTAATCGACACACACTGTTCTTCGTGCACGTATGAACTTACCTTGATTTTACGGAGTTCACGGTGAAGTCGTGAAGACATCTCCAATAGAGATCGATCGATCGATCGATTAACCGTAGGAATCACACTTTTAATTTGGAGAGTGTGTTAGTGACGGACGGTTAGGTTACATCACGAGCGAGCCAACAACAACCATGCAAGCGCCGGGCGGCCCCCCGTGCGCCGCGCACGTACAAGCAGCTAGCGGCGCAACACGCACTTAATGCTATATACTCCCTCATCCCACAACATAAGGGATTTTGAGTTTTTCTTACAACGTTTGATCACTCGTCTTATTCTTTTTCTTTTATAAATATAAAAACAAAAAGTTATGTTTAAAGTATCATAGATAATAAAATAAGTTATAAATAAAATAAAAAATAATTTAAAAAAATTTAAATAAGACGAGTAATTCCTTATATTATGGGACGGAGTTACTACTCCTTACCATGCCTGCCTGCCTAGCTACGCTCCACGCCTCGTCGTACGTCCATCCCCTGCAGCGCAGGGCCGCAGGGACGACAAAGATGACCGCGCGTGACGTCCTCACGCCGCGATCACCACGTAGGAGTACGTACCAGTACCACCACCACACCGGCCGCCAGCAAGCAGAAGCTACAGGTCGATCGATGAGACTGCGGACTGGGTGGAGACGGCGCGCGCGCGGGCGGACTGCGAATATTATCGGTCGCCACGGCAGTAATGATGCATTGATGCCGCGATTTGATGCAACTCCGACTCGCGTCGCGTCCGTCCATCAACCACCGTGCTGTGGCTGGCTAGCTATGGGCTAGCTGTTGCGCTTGCAGCAAGCGATGCGACGCTCACTCGAGTTCGACTGCCAGTATTTACGGCCTTGTCTCCCTTTGCCGTGCTCATCGCTCACTGTAACAGTCGCTGTCTTATCTGGTGGCCATCTCCGTAGGATGCAGGTCGTCGGCAGTATATTAGCCAGTAGCAGGTACAATAGTAGCCTATTAACCAGCTATAAATATATTTTAATAATATAAAAGATGAGAGAGAAGAGGAACGAGCTACAGATAGGATCATATATTAATAGTATAATAAGCAACTATATTAATAGTATAGTAAGCACGGACTCCAATACACAGTGTATGGATGACACGTAGGACTATATATTAATAGGATAGTAAGCAACTATTATATGAACTAGGAAGGAAGCCCGCGCATCTGCGCGGGCAACTTATTTATTGTTAATAAAAAAAGCTAAAGAAAGTTGTCTGTAACCTTATTCACTATAAGAACTACATACTACTACCTTATAATAATAAAAGAATGAAATAACTATATCACAAACCATTTACTTGATATACTAAATGATAATAATGTCTTCTATATTGGAACATAAATTATTTTGTCATGGTTATATGCCTATCACCACTAATTATTATGGGACGGAAACCTGAATGCATTTTTGATAGATGGAATTGCATCCATACCAAAAGTAAACCTAATACGTTGTCAATACTATAAAGCATTCATTTCCACTTCATACCACTGCATTTCTAATCGATGGAATCTGTATATAATATTTTAAAATACCTTTGATAAACTAATAGGTTAAAACCATTAAAATATATATCAATGCACCTCTAACGGGTGAAACCGACCGTAGCCACAAATGCTTTCTTTTCTTATGGCTTAAAATTAACATGGGTCTCAGACTGACATAATTGGGTCTCTTAATATCAACGTAGAGCACAAGTTTAATGTCAAATTCACTAATTGCCAATGGTGACTTCTCACTGGGCACCTCTATTGCCTATACATGCCCCTACCATACATACATTCACGTAGCAAACTCTAGTGTTCACAATTGACGTCCTTCAGGGAATTTAGAGAGAAGATGGATGTGATGCAGATATTCTTTTAAAAGGTTGAATCAAATTGTGATATAGAATAGACAACGGTACAAATATAATTTTCCCTTTTGAAAATAAGCAGGATTGATCCTTCGACACTACTTTAAAAAATCTAATAGGGTTGATGGGAGCCGTTTGTAAATGAATATAATGCCCGCTATTAATTATTTGAAATTGATAGAGTAATTGTTAAAGAATATTTGGATGAGATTGAAAAAAGGATAGAATATTGTTCCACATAATATTTTTTAAATTAAAATATAAAGTTATTATGGGATGTAACGATAAACATCTAGGATATATCCTAGTCAAATACTACCTCTGTCCCAAAATAAGTGCAGCCGTGGATATTCGTTCCCAACGTTTGACCGTCCGTCTTATTTGAAAAATTTATGAAAAATTTGAAAATATTTAGTCACACATAAAGTACTATTCATGTTTTATCATTTAATAGCAATGAAAATACTAATTATAAAAAATTTTCAAATAAGACGAACGGTCAAACGTTGAACGTGAATAGTGCAAAACTGCACTTATTTTGGGACGGAGGGAGTACCTAGTAAAACAAAGGGGAGCGAAATTAAAGGATCCACAGAGGAGTGGACTGAAAGTTAGGAGGGAAGGGTTCATAGTTTTTTCGCGATTAGTAGTCTCCCGGCAAATAGTAGTCTCTCTACCATATATAGATGTATATATGTACATATTTTTTCGGACGAATAGTACAAATTAGACAGGAGATTAGGAGGAAGGGATTATTTACTTCAGGAGATATAATCTTCAAATTGAAAATAATATGTTTACTGGTTTAAGTGTAAATTGATCGCTCCATGTTTTGTTTTCTTCCAATTTTTTTAGATTTTATTGATCCTAAATTATCAGTTTAACTACAAATTAAATTGAGACATTAAACTGCATTAAATTGATTGCAATTCCTAGGAAGTAGAGAGAAGGGAGAGAGAGGAGATATATGTCCTGCACATAGCCCATGTACGTATACAGTACGTACGTATGGGTTCGTTACGTACAGGGGAGAGAGAGGTGGAGGTGGAAGGATTTGTTTCGGTTAATCTAACGGCTGAATATAATGGGTCCACCAACTTTATTAAAAATTAAGGGCTAGATGTTTTGCTTTTTTCTCAGAATTTATTGGATTTCTCTATTTTTTATAGAGCGCCATGTGGCAGCCTGAGAGTGTTTATAGGAAGTTTAATGGACTTTTAGTATATAACTAGGAAGGTAGCCCGCGCAGTTGCGCGGGCATATTATTTAAACTATCATAATTTTTGTTGTTATTAGAAAGAATTTAGGGTTTCCTTTGTAACACAGGATTTTTAGAAAAGAATAGAAAATGGTATATAAATGATTTTGAGAAAAGAAAAGAAAATGGTATATAAATATGATAGAAATGAATGTTTAAAATATAGTATGGAATAGAATGGATGTTTGGATAGAGTGTAAAAAATTTAAAATGTATTAACCCAGTTAGATCAAATTATCATCTGGACAAATAATAATCAAACAACCTTTGCATTAGTAGCTTGACGATTGTCTCGATGGTAATTTTTTAAAATTCTGTTATATGCAAGATATATATCTTGCATGTACGTACAGATATCGTGGAGAGACGAGTGATTATGTACGGGAGGGAGGTGGAATGGATTTGTATTTTTAAGGATTGGTCTATCGGATGTAAATAATTGTTTTACCGATTAAAGTTACAATGGTCATATTTTTTTTTTATATTTTATATATGTTTTTTATTTTGAAAAGATATAATGTAATGGTCCAAAATAATAGGTCTAAGATTTTAAATCATGTGATAGCGTAGGGTTTTTTAGAAGCATGTGTAAAATAGAGGATAGAGAAAAGTGGTTATCTGAATTATTAACACATAGATTATTAACAAAACAAATTACATAATCCGCATATAAACTGTGAGACAAATTTATTAAGCGTAAATAATCGGTCATTAGCAAATGTTTACTGTAGCACGGCATTGTCAGATCATGGCGCAATTAGTTTTAAAAGTTTCGTCTCGCAAGTACAGGAAAAACAGATGATTGTTAAATTTTGTTAATCTATGTAGATGAAATAATTATGCATTTGTGAAAAAAAAACTGCACTTAACCAAACAAATTTTGCATCACTTTGCTTTGACTAAAATACTAATTAGTAGTAGGCAACTAATACTCTGTAACTCTGTCTAAGCTAATTTTTTTTGCTCTTCTTTTCTATTCCGCTATACGAGTATACGTATGGATAGCAAGGAGAGAGTGACAGAAGAGGGGAAAATGGAAAGGATGAGGTCTGAGGGGAAGGGCGGACGAGGAGGGCGGATGGCGGATGGCGGATGGCGGATGGCGCGGGCCGGAGGTGCGAGCGGAGAGCTTTGGGCAGGGGGGACGGCGGCGCAGGCGGCAGGGATGGCGTGGGTTGGCGGCGTAGGTGGCGGGGACGGCGTCAGACGGCGGGGATGGCGTGGGTTGCTGGCGTAGATGGCGGGGACGGCGGCGGGCGGCGGGGATGGCGTGGGTTGCGGGCAGAGAGCGGTAGCGGAGAGCTGCAGGCGCTGTGGA